TGATAAATAGGAAATGTCAGCAACAAATATGGTACACAAGAGAATTTATTCAAACACACAGGTAACAAAAAACCACCAAATTTTAAAAATGGATACCTTAAGTACAGCCCTTAAATATTTACTTGCAATGCAAATAATTTTCTTACTTTTTAAAAATAATTATCATTATTGAATGTTTCGAAAATTATACCAGGTACCCCAATAAAAAGACTGAAGACTAATTTTAAGTAGGTTTTTTCCCCCTAAAATTTACCCTGCATTCAAACTAAAAGAATTTACACATAGGCAAGAGAGCACAATTCAAGAATAAGAATTTATTTTTAAAGAAAAATATTTAAATCATTACAGCTTCTAGACAAGATTTTTTCCAGCTAGGTTTCCATTTCATGTACAGGGAAATAATCTATTGTTTGGACCAAGATTTCAATAGTTTGAAATAAGACAGCTTTGAGGGCAGGCCTGTGTCAGTAAAATATCAAGTATAATCTCTGAGTATTTGTGAAATCCACACCTTAGGTAACAGGAACTTGTGACAAGATCCATCTGAAAAGACTGACTTCCCTGAACATCTTAATTTTCATGTATGCATGTATTTTAATAAGAAATGTGAAAGCCTCATTATTCTAATTCCTAGCAGAATCATAATTTAGAAATACTCTACCCTGAGCTAAAAATGAAAACAAAGAATAAGAATACCTACATAAGATCTGCTTGGAAAAACTTGATTGTAGTCACATTACTCACTGATTGCTTGACAACTGATATAAAACATCCCAAACCAAGCAGAAATTCAGACTTACACTTTTGAAAGTATTTTACCTCCTAAGTTAATTTTAAGGCCATTTCTACTGGTATGCATGAAGTAAGAAAAGCAGCTTTAAAGTTGATTTTCACTGAAGAAAGAGCTGCAGTCAAGTTAAGATATCTGCCCTACTTACAGATGAGCCACGAGAAAAGACAGAAGCAGATTCCTCTTACGGATGCCCAGAAGCAGAGACAGAAAGGAGCATGTGGCAGTAAGTGGAGGACGGAGAGCAGGGGAGTGGCACAGCTCCTTGTGAAAGAAAGTGTGAAACTCCTGCCTAAAGTTAATTTGCGGTAAGGAACCAATAAAGGTGAAAGCAGACATAAGTCAGGTGAATTTCTGCTGTTGAAAAGACAGATCAAATAGTAAAATCTAGTCAGATTGATGAAACCAAAGAAAAGAATACAGAAAAGGGCACATTGCCTCCACAAATCATGAAGTTTCTCACTAAAGGTTTACATCCCCTTGACACAGCAAGAGATACCATTATTTATACTCCAAAGAAATTGAAGAATAATCTAAACAGCCTTTACTGATGTCTGGAACATGAGGAATCAGCATCAGAAAACGGTCCCCTTTCAGTTATGAAAAAATGCAAAGAAACAAAAATTGCTTGACCTGTCCCACAAGAACAGAATGTGCAATTTGCCATGAATGTGGCAGCAGAAACTGTAACTTGTCCAGAGTTGTAAAACATCCAGAGCTGTTGACCCAAAATCATAGAGATAGGAAGATGCAATCTGTTTAAATATCTTGACCTTGGAAAAGACACATCCTTACATTGTAGGAAAAAAATTAAATTTATGTGTCTTCAATACAAAAAAAAAATGGATCAAAAATCTGTTATGGCTTTTTCTAAAAGATTTTCCCTACCTGGATTTGAAGACATCTGTGACACAAGCTGACTGACATTTTGCTCATGGTATTAAAAATCTCTTGGCAGGTGTATGGACCAGACAGAATGGACCAGCCAAAGTACATAGTGAGAAACGTGCAGTAAAATATCAAAACAGGAATAAAACTGGGCTGCACTTGTTCTTCTCCAGAATATCCTTTGGCACTCACAAACACACAGCTTGGGATAAAAGGAAAGCTGATGCATGATCTGAGAATCAGTTACAGTTTGGTACTAAAGGTGAGCAAAATATATAGGCAGGATGCAGAGAAATGTGGAATATCCAGTGTAATGGTAATGCCTGGCTGGTCTGAGCTGTGGCTGTGGAATAAACAAAATGGGTAACACCAATGTTGTGAAATGAACCACAGCTCAGCAGGACTCCAGAGCTGCACCAGTGCAGGACAGGCACTTCTGGGACAAAGGCACAGGCAGCTCTCATGGCACACAGATGAAGCACATGTCAGTGCTGTACTGCTGCAACATTACAAATAAGTGTATTGAAATGCAAAAAGCAGCAGGACAGCCAACACAGGAAGAGACAGCCAATGGCAAAGGTACAGTTTTCACTACAGGAGCAGAGATGATATGCAATGACTTGACATCCCAATTGGGATCATCACCCCCCTTGAAAAAGTGTGCACACCTTTCTAAAAAAGGTACAAAACTGCAGGGAAAACATAGATAATCTGATTTATTAAGTTATTAACAAAAAAAGTTCATGAAAAATCACACACTGAGAATGAAATATAAAGTGAACATTTAGATGAGAAAATAAGCCAGTCTGTTGAGAGCTGGCAATCCAACTATGGGAAAAAATAAATAGCAGATGGAGGAGATATGAAAACTGTGGTTTTCATAGATGGGTTTCAAGATGATACCTCATGAATTGAAAGGAGATGATGGAGAGAGATTTATCTCAAGAACAGCATTATTTTATCAAGTGACACTGCAACCAATCAAAACATTGAGACCTAACCTGGTTAGGATTGTGGAGTACATATTAATTATTACTCAGTTACAATAATTTCAATCTTTTATTTGACTAGCAGTGAAATAAGATTCACTTTTCTAGTTTTTTATAAAGCATTATTAAAAAAACCCTCGTGAGCAACAAAGTAAAAAATTCCAAATAACTTCCCAATTGGCATCTCAACCGAGGTTCTACTTGCAGTTTTTCAAAGAAGTGATTTTTTCTTAAAATCGTACCTTAGAAAGGTTCACAGGTAGCACATATCCCTACACAAATATATTCAGGTACAGGTCTATAAATCACACATCTCTATATAATTGTATTTGGTAAAACCCGTAATTCTGATTTCCAAACGTTTTCCTCTGATTTCTTTCAAGATGTCTGACAAAATCTTTAAATAACTATGAAGTAAACATGGCTAATGATATTCTTTATCCAGATCACACAACCAAAACCATAATTATGTTTGACATGACACTGAGCACAGGAAGCACGACACTGCCCTGGTTGCCACCAAGGGCAAACCCGCCAAACTGTGTCTCTGTTGTGGGGTGTGCACGGCAATATTGCCAAAATGCTGCTCTTAAAATATTAAGCTTCTCCTATACAGCAATTACCTTTCAAACATATCCATCTAATTAGTTGCTGATCACTGTAAAAAAATCTGTCTTAATTAGAACCTGAAGGTTGTCAACAGCTTTCAGAGACACAGCATTCTCAGTGACATTCAAGATTCAAGGACATTTTAGAGAGCCTTTCTTTTCCATGTTGACCACAGGAAACACTGGAGAGAAAAAGGCTTTCGAAAAAGAAATACCGTCCTTAAAATATGGCAAAAATACTATTTGTATTAAATTAATATCCAGTTACCAAATAACAAAAACATTTCTATTAGTCTCAAATGTTGTTTAAACAGTATCTCTAAGGCACAACTATGCAATTATAGCAAAATTAAAGGACATGGCAAGCAAAAGGATGAACAGTGAATAAATGTGGCATTATATTTGGCTTAAAAATCTGAAAAGTATTTCAAACCATCAAAGGTCAGACTAAAACTATCCTTTGATGAGTAAAAGATGAATTAGGAAAGGAAAATCTACCCAAGAGTACATGCAAACAACAATGAAGTCATTTCACACCATTTTAAATTTCCCCCCTTGATTCTGGAACCAGAATCTGCACTTTTTGAATGTAATTAACTGAAGATTCCAGTATAAGACACTTTACAAAGATGTGGTACAAGTAAAAAAGCAGCACTAGCTTTAGCATATAAACAATTGAGAAACACAAACTAAGGTACAGTACACAGGCCTCTATGAATTAAAGCATCTCTCTTGAACTATTTTCAACACCAAAATGTGGAATTGTCTCAGAAAAATTAAAACTGCTCTGGTCATGGTCAGACTATATAAATATGTAATTTACAGGTTACATCTTCACAGAATCTGTTGATTGACCTCCCTCCTTTTCTATCTAACAGCAACAGAAAATCTGCTTTAAGGCCATAAACTCTCAACAGAAGAGAGGATTTTAAAAAGGATGTGTACTTGTCAGATTTTCAAAAGCACTGTGCAGGCCTTGGAAAACTGCTATTTTTTCTTCTAAAAAAAGGCTTACGAAGAAAGACAGAAATTTGTCTATATTTATTTAGTATTACCAGTTCCCGAAACAAAGCTGAAAAATCTAATAATTTCCTCAGGACCAAGGACAAATAGGAAAACATGACCATGAGCTTCTCAGTTTTTGAAGATATAAAATTAAAAACAGATAGCAAAACAATACTGAATAAAATTATGAAAAAAGCACCCCAGCTTTGGTATAAAACTGGGTATATAAATCTACAGAAAGGCTTAATGATCATGGCACTAAACTACAGAAAACTACATATCCTAGCAGGTAAAGAAATTTGAAGACCTCAGAGCCAAGTTCTCAAAAAAAGTCCATTAGTCAAAGAAGTAAGAGTAAAAATCCTTAGCTCAGAACCCTCAAAAGAAGATGAGTAACAGCATACTCTAAGGCAATGTGCAAATAACTGCAGTTTAAAACTAAACAGCACCCAAAACCTACACAAACCCATACTACATCAAATGATGTGAGAAAAATAAGAGGAAAGAAGAGTATGTAATTTTGGAAGTAGAATTCCAGAGTGTAAAACAAAATGGAGCATTAGACTGTGGCATGGGAGCTGCTGCTGTTGCATTGTGGGGAATGAGGCAGAGACAATTAAGTTCATTAAATGAGTAAGGATTTATTACACATGTATAGTCGATTATGTATCAAGTGTACCTTTCTGCTTTTACACTTCTGCATTAAAAATGGCCCACTTACTGAAAACAGTCATTCATTTCATATTCTTCTTATATTTCTATTAATGCTCTTCGGTTTATGTCTGCCTGTGAAAAGGTAATTTCCTGTCTGGCAACTGCAGGTATGAAAATTTCTATCTGCTTACTCTGCATCATAGGTGAAACTTATTTTAGAGCCAAGTAACCCTCTAATGAAAAGCCTTTGTGAAAAGAGCCTTCTTAAAATCAACAGATTCAATAACTGTCACACTATGTCTCCTCTGCACTTTTCCTAATACAGTATTTTAAATTTGTAGCTCATTAGGGGTATAGAATGTGGTCCTTCATGAAAGCTGAACAACCTGCTAAAACAAATCTTCTTTGTCACTAGGTCATTCACACTAGTAGGGAAGTGATTCCCATTTCTAGCTTTATCATAACTAGATTGCATTATGATGAGACAAATAAGCAACAATACTGAATATTAAAGCCATACTAACACAGATGTGTAAAAAAGAATTCGCAAAATTTTCCCTTCCAATTTTTAGCAAACTTATAGTAATGGAAGTTAAGTTTAAGAAAGTGTTTGTCTGTAATACTAATAGAGATGTTATTTTATGTACACAATGAAGAGACCAATTAGACTCACAACACCAAACTTTTCGTAGTTACAATTCTTCACTCTTCCAGACAACTTTGGAATGACCACAAAAATTAGCAAATTCTGCTTTCAAGTACTGCACTAACTTGCTTTCATTAAGGTGGAATTTAAAAAACATATTCAAACATAATAAAAAATTTAAATTGAAAAGTCACATTCTCTGCCAACAAATCCAATAGATCTGTTCTAAAACTCCAGACTACTTGAAGAAAAGTCAAAATACAAGGGCAAAAATTAAAAAGTTCATGTTAGATTAAAATATCCTAACTTTAAGTGATAGAAATTGATTTTTAGAAGTTTTTGTATGCAAACTCCCACCCTGATATGAAGGGCAAGTGCACAGGTCTGTGATGTCAGCTCTGCCTGCTACTGTAGAAGGTTCACAGTCTCTTTTCCATCTGTATGAAGTCCACACCCTCTGAAGCAGATTTTTAAAATATTCAGTACATTTTAAGATCATAAAATGGAGTATTTCACATGTGCCAGTTTTATCATTGGATTAATAATTTTTTGTATTTTAGCTTGGCTTTCTTGAAACCTTTTGCCCAAGTCCAAAGCATGTGAATGTAACCTTCAGTGTTACCAGTGAACTACTCTTGTGAAAAGAAAACAAATGCTTTCCTAAAAACATGTTTATGTAATTTTCTTTGCAGAACAGAGAATAATAGTGTTTCAGTGTTGCTAAAGAAATTAAAATTGCCAGAAGATGGATTTAGAGTAAAAGGGAACTGCCCTCAACACATCAAATACATTGGGGAAACAACAGTTCAGAAGTAGCAGCAAACATCAAATGGACCCTTGTATCTACCAGCCACCTTATCTTGAATTCAACAGGCAATGAGAAAAAACAATTAACTCTTTTCTGTTGCTGCAATGAATGCATGAGTAATTCTGGTTGCTGGACACTACCTTGACCTGTAAGAATTCAATTGTTTATTCCTGCTTGCACACGCTAATGAAAACCAAGTGTACATAAAAATTTGGTTACAACATTCTGCCCACCTGCCACAATGTTTCACAATAAAACAGCATCTCAGCATCTCTCTCTTTGAAGAACATTTGGTAAGACCGCAAGATCCGCAAAAGTTGAAGAAAAATTTCAAATACTGACCATAAATGTGTCTATAGCAACATTTCAAGCGTGACAACAGAACAATGATATAGTTTATGATACCACATAAACAAAAATACAATCCAAAGAACATATGAACAAAACATGATGTTTTCATGTGCATTAAACTTCCAGATGCAGGAGTTATGTTTGAAGTCACATGCATGCACAGCTAGAAATCATGTTGCTTCTTTTTAGGGAGTAGCTATATTAGACTAAAAATGTTTGTATGATTTCCTTGGCTGGTGCAGGGAGTACACAATGTTGCATCAACACAGCAAAACCAGACATCCTTCCAATATCAGACAATCCTCTGAGAGTGTAATAGTACCCCTAAGAAATATCCGGGGTTACAAGTGTGGAGACAATTCCAGAATCATCATTCTTTGTCTTTTAACATTTCCATTATCAATGAACTTCCCATCACAGACTTTCTAAAGACAATGACTGATATGAGAAACCATGAGTCAAGGGAAAAGAACAAAAACTGTAAATGAAGTAATGTAAAATATCAAAATAGTTATCAGATTTCCTGAAGATCCAAAACTAAAGGATAAAAGTTATCAGGTAGATTAAATTGAGTCCCAATTAGAACTAACATGAGACCGTATCACAGTAATAGGTCTTGCATTACCATAGAAACAAAACATTGACAGATAAATATAATTGGAATGTAACATTTTCTCAATGAGTTACAAGTATGAGAGAGCTCTTTCTTCATTTGCAATATAGAAATGGGTATGTGCTATCCTTTTCTTTTATAGTTCTTTTTTTTAACAGCAATTTTGTGTCAAAGTTTGAACTTCTTAAAAACAAGTTATTTAAGTTGAGCTTGACCCCAGATCAATGAATTAAAATACAGAAGAGTAGTCTATAGTTAAAAATGCTGTACTTTGGAAAAAGCAGGGTTATACTGAATGAGCTTAATATGAAGAGTTCTATCTATCACATGAACTACAAAAGAAATAAAGCATACAAGAGCCATTATATTCTTTATATTACAACCGAAATTAACCTTTCCATTTATTATCAGAGATCCTTTTCTACAAGACAGAATACAAAGAAGGACCTAAGATTTTGCTCTGATATTTTGAATAAGTTTTTTTTTTATTTGGGTAATATATCAGGTTAGCTAATACAATATTGTTTCTACAAAGGCAGTCATATAAACCACATTTCAGGAGCTGTGTTTTACTTGGTGAGGATTTCACACCTTAGTAATTTTGTTAAAATGAGTTGAGACTTCTGTTTAAGGAGATCTCTTCACCCAACAGACAAAATAATTACAGAAATGTGCCCTCTTTCTAAGTAATATAATGGCCTTTCTGAGATCACAGTTGTATTTATAAATACCTATCTTTAAAAAAAGATTTAATTTCACACTAGCCTAAAAAGACTCCAAGCCAAAGTATTTAGCATAGTAACTGTATATTGTACTTGTCAAAAATAATTCTGCATTATAAATTGTTGTGTAAGGATTTACTGTGCAAACCCCTTAGAGTCAGCAGATTTCATTTGGCATGGAAAGGATACTAAAATGGGTCTCTGACTGAATAATTTTCAGAAGTACAAAATACTATCTTTTACTGTAAAATTACAAAACTATTACATATTTGTAACAGAAATCATTCAATGAGAATTTTTAAAAACCAGCTAAACGTTAATGCACTGAATTTACGCCACATAGCTTACCCCTCTTCACACTATGAGAAACTACACAATGGAATGAAATTCTGTTCCTTCTGAAGTCAATAGCCAGATGTGACTGACTTCAGAATGTCAGAACTTGACTTCTTGTCTGTCTGAACTATATTGGTTAGCTTATCAGAGCTGAAAGAATGGTGCAAAATATTATAAACATTTTAAAATTGCACTTTCTGAATTATTCTGATGTTATGCAATGTTTAATTTCATGACCTTTCTGAAATTAAAATGAGTAACATGCAAAAAAAAAAAAAGTGCTTAGTTGTTTGACTTCTTCAATTCTTTAGGATTTCAATTTTAAGATGAAGTGGGGAACAAGAACTTACCTACTTGGTACTTTGGGTAATAAGGTGCCATTTGTCCACTACTGCATGATTGTCTCTTATGCCTTTTTCTTAAATTTGTATCAGTGGTCTCCCATTGTGGACTTTTTCTTTTGTTTACTCTAGTAAGACCTTCAGAACTACCAGCAGGATTATCGTCCTGGTTTACATCACTACTTAATTTTCTGCTGTGAAACTGGCCATCCAGATTTTCAGTCACTTTAGAAGAACTAGATCCTTTAGATGTTTCCACTTCATTTTCTTGTTTCTTTAATGTATTTTGTTTAGTAGAATGGGACCTTAAAAGAGGATGTCTTTTTTCTTCCATATAGGCCTGAGTGCTTTTACTGTCAACAGCGTCAGGAGAATAAACGACATTATTTAACTTAAATGAATTGTGCTGCTCAATATGGTTGATTTTTCTCAGAAATATCCTACAGTCTTTAAAGGTTTTGGCTTTCCAAGTATTTTGAAACAGTTTATCTTGGCTTTGTTCTTTTCTAACATTTTGCTGGCAATGAATTGTTCCATTTGCCTCTGAATGTGACTTAAGTATATTTGCTAAACCAGGATGTGGGTTAAAGTCAGAAGATCCCATCATCTGTCGAACAAATGCATCTCTCGCTTCATTTTCAGTTGGCAAGAGGCTATTCTGAGACTCTATCAAAGGCTGAGTGGGCTGAATTTCTACTGTATTTTTCTCCTGGAGCTTGGGTGTTTCATCATTGGTGTCCCCACTTGTACTTTTAAACAACTGGCTTTGACAAAATAACTGCAGATTTTTCCTTTTTGATTTCCAACCTCCAGGAGTCTGATTATAGAGCTTTTTTGTTTGTCCCCATCTATCATGCTGCAACTTCTTAAATTCATTTCTTTTTAATCTGGCTAAAGTGAAATTACTTTTCACGCTTAAGACTGGAGACCTCACCATGTTATGTAATATTTGCAATTTCCCTGCTGGTTTTGAAGGGGAGGATAGTGCAAACTTTTTAAAGTGCTTTCTGAAAGGGCAAGTACTAGGATCAGATTGTTTAGTTTCCATCTTAATCTCTCTAGTACTAACTACTTCTAAGGGATTGCGAGCATTTGCCTTTCTCACAAGAGAGAGAGACTGTGTTTCTGTAGTTTGCATAAACCAGGTGCAGAGTTCATTCATATTACACTTTTTCTGGAAAAGCATTTTTATGGGTGATGTTTCAAGTTCTACAAGGCAAGAGTCTAAAGGGTCTGACACTTCAGTGTTACAGTCTTGTTGAATGGGATCCCTTTTTTCACATACACATTTGTCAAACTCACTTCCCCCCACTCTCAACCAGGTATTAGTCATCTGTTCAAATCTATTGTTTAGTTCTTCCAACAAGGTGTCACTTGAAGTGGAAGTAGGCCACCACCTGAGAGAGGGATTTGATGAAAAAATGGGATCTGATGATACTTCATTAATGGGCCCGAATTCACCATCCTCAAGATCCTTTTTAGCATTTCCTGAATTTCTCAGTTCTGAGGTATCTTTGGATGCTGCACTCTGATTTGATTGCGCAAGTTTTTCCTTTCGCTCTTTAGCTTTTTTCAAATGGAGTTTGTAGGATTTATGTAGTAAGGCACTTCTACAAGTAAATGCACTAGAAGAGGCTAATGAATGCAAAAAATGCAGTGAAGGTTTTCTGTCTCTAGCAGAGTGTCTTGATGGAATTTCACGTTTTCTTGACACTGTTGTAGTAACACTGTGTGATCCATCCTCTCTAGAATCTTTCTGCATGTTCTTTACTTGACCCATATTATTGCACAGTTGATTTTTTCTTTCCTGTGGTATGTCTTTTAACACATTCTGCTGTTGTAAAGGAGGCAAACCATTACTGATGCTCACTTTTCTTTCCTGAGGTGAAAGTCTACTGACAGTCACTGATATGCCAGAAATTTTTACTTTTGCTGGCCTTCCAGGTTTTCGAACAGTGGTTAATGGTTTCTTAATCTGCCGTATAACATTGCTGCAAGGATGTGGTGATGCCAGATTACTCTTGATAGGCCTGACATAGTCATAACCAGAGACCTCTTTTTCAGTAGAAGGATTCTGAAAGACTTTTACCATTTCAGTCAAAGCATCTCCAGTTTCTGCATTGTGCCTTGCTTTGCTGGGATCATTGGCAAAATTAGAGTCAATATGTTGTGTGGGCAGAATGCTGATGAGGTTTAGATTACCTTCAGAAACATGTCTCTTAGTTCTTCTTGACCTTCCAAAAACAACCGTCACAGTAATATTTTTGTTGCTGTTAACTTCTTCCATTGCTGCTGCATCAGACTTGATGCTTTTAGCACCACAGCTAAGTTCAGGTCTAGGTTTTGTGCTTCCACTTATGTCTACTTTTGGTTTAGGAGGCCGTCCAATAGGTCTCTTAACCTGCTTAACTACTTGAGGACCTATTTTCTTTGGTCTACCAGGTTTTCTTTTGAAAACTGATTCACTGCTACTGCTCGATTTCTCCAAAATGTCATCATTTTTTTTTGAGTCATTTATGTTAATTTGACCAACTGGACAAGAGCTTGTAACTGCTTCTGCATAAACACAGCTTGACCCCTCTTTAGTATCATTTTCACTGCAATCACAACCTTTGACACAGACTGCATGAGAAAGGTCACCTGTGGCCTGTTTATCTAACAAAGTGTTTGTGTGCCCCTGAAACAAACAGAGATCTGTGCTTCCCTTAGAAGATGCAGCTGCAGATGTCAGAGTGTACTTGACTCCTTCATGACTGTTAACTTCTGAGACAAACATAAGCTTAATAGGACTAGAGTAGTTTAAGGGTGATGAGAGCTCCCCGGCTTCAGATGTTATATGCAAGTCCCCATTCCTGGAAGTTGAACAGCTTGAATTAAAGGTCAGAGATTTCAAAAGGCCGTCATTAATTTCTTGATCTAGAACAGTTTCTTCTGTGTTTGATGCAACACAAATTGCTTTGATTTTACTGCTGCTTGGCACATGTGAATGTGGAAGGAAGCTTTGTCCTGTGCATTCCATTTCACTCAGAGTGAAAGGTAAGCCCCTTCTAGTAGCTGGGTTCATAACCTGTTCATAAGCATTATCTTTTAATTTTTGGCTTATTTTGTAACTATCCAACAATGAGTTGCTAGTCTTTCTGGCTAAGTTTATTGTATCTTCTAAACGCTCCACAACAACTTGCAGATTTGTGTCTCTCACAATTTTGCTTATATTTATGTCACTGCATCTTTCAGCATGAACATTTTTATTTATTTTTATTTTTTCCAAACTTTTTAAAGACTTTTTTGTACTGGATGACTTTCTAAACATGATATTGTTTGTTACATACACAGAGTACCACCCAGGAGGCACAATGGTACGTTTAGTTCTACCCAAGATTTCATTACTCTCATCCTTCAGAGGAATCTGACCAGTCTGTTTTAATGTTGCACAGTTGCCTTGTGTATTTGGGAGTTTTGCCTGGCTGGCTGCAATAGCACTGTTTTCTGAAAGAACCAGAAAGCTGGAGCTGGTCTGAAAATTAGTAAGAGGTAGTTTGAAGGACTCTGTTTGGTGTACTGGAAAGCACGTTGGTTTGGTTTGGCAATTCACAAATGGATTACTTTCAAGATGTTGCAAAGTCTCATCCTCTATCACAGTAAAACTATGTCTTTTATTTGGATGCATTCTATCAATTTTTTTTGTAGATTTCTTTGTATTTCTCTCAGAAATTGACTTTTTTCTTACAAGAGTTTCATCAAGGCTTGCAAGCTCCCTCTTGATTTGCAAAGACTGTCGTCGAATGACTGGTGAATCGGGAGAATTATATGTTGCAAATAAAGTTTCCTGACGCTTGCGAAATCTTGTCTGGATAATTTTATTTTCCACTTGTTTATCATGTTGGTGAAGTAATTCCATAAAGCTGTAATCACTTGCCTTAGCATTATGCAAAAGAGAAGTTATGAAGTCTCCTAATTTGACATCATTTTCTGGTGCCCTGTCACTGCTTGAAAGTTTTACAAGATTTGTTGCTAAATCTGTAGTGTCTATTGATTTCAACTTCTCATTAATGCGGTCCATTAAATCTTGAAAAATGGCAGAATGTTCACCTTTCTCAGAGTTCATATGACCATCACTGCTTTCTTGGTCTGCTGATACCAGTGCTCCATCTGAATAATCACTCTCTTTTCCTTTGCACGTTTTACCCTCATACTCAAATTCTCCCTTGCTTCCTTCAGCTGGCAAGAGGGATGGAGGCTGGTTGATGGATATTTCAAGCTTGTTGTTGTCTAAAGTTGGAAAATCCATAACCATTCCTTCTGACAATTCAAATTCTTTACTGTGTACAGGTGACAGTGGAGGTGGCGAAGGGCTGCGGGATCTGTTTGAATTTTTAATGCTGCTTAAGAGGTCACAGTCCTTAGACGAATATGTACATGCTGCTGCTTTCACAGAATGCCTGCTATAATTTTGCAATTGGTCAGCACAATACTTAGGAGAACTACATGCTTTGTTCACCATTGTCTTAATACATCCAATTGCTACAGCTTGGCATGACAAAGAATGGAAATCTTTAATACAAACAGACAGAGGTGGTAAACAAGTATTTGGCCTTTGATTTTGTGAACAGCACCTTTTTGTCAGCATGTGTCCATTGCAACTGCAAAATGGAACGTGAACATCCTCTTCAGTAGGGGAACTGGGAGTTTCAGAGTGGACCGAATGTGTTTGCTTGCAACTGCAAACTATAGGAACATTTTCATCCTGTATTAGGAATTTTAACATAGCCAAAGTCTGTTGCCAGTGATATGAACAAAAAGACTCCAAAACTTTGTTTAAGGTTGATTTTCCTTTTTCCAAATTAGCTGTTTCCTCTGAATTTGCATCAGCTGTTGAGCTTGAACTGAAAATGAAAACAAATCAAAACAAAATATAAATTACAGTAAAACACCACATCTAATGTTTGTTATACGGTTAAACTCAAGCCTAAAACCCTGACATTTACAAAACAGTTCTGTTCTATTTGCAGTATTCAATCATACTTGCAAGTGTCACTAGCAATGATGTGCATCTTATCAGTGATAGGACCAAACTACCATTAAGAAAAATAATCATGAAGAAATTAGAGACAAAAAGAATAATTTGAAATACAGCTTCTTGAACCTAACTGTAACTACAACGTTAATTTTCTGGTATTTCCAACTATCTTAACTATTAGTGAAAGAAAACTTCACCAAGAACCTGGCAAGCTTGGTATTACTCCCATTTTCACTAACTGGGGCACAAAGAAGGTAAATGACTGAGGTTCAAAGTTGTGGCAGAGGAAAGAATGGATCCATATCTCCTGAATCCCACTCTTAGATATTTAAATACTCAAGTGTATTGAGTGCTCTTCAGGATACACTTAAAGGTATTTCTAGAGACATTTTTATTTCTATATTTATTTTTAAAGAACTCTTAACAAGCTAACGGCAAATGGAAAAAAAATAGCCTAGCGCTCTTAGCAGATAAAATTTTCCCTTTCAGTTTTTAAAAAAATTGCAGTGTTGCATCACAAGCTCTTCACTGCAATACATTAAACACACATGTGTGTGCACACACAGATTCCTTAAACAGAAAGAGAGATAATCATCACTGGAATAAGTAGAGATAAAAGTTAATATCCTTTAAATATCCTTTAAACAGGGTAGGCCTGTATCTAACTGCTGAGCAGTTGTTCTCAAATGTATTAACTAAAAAAAAAACAACTTATAAAATACTACTTTAACTATTTAATCAATTTCTTATAAATTATTAAAACTAATGTCACTACTTACCTAATCAATCATTTATACTGAAAAGCTGAAAAATTTCCATGGTAGAAATTAATACATGTATTTCTTCAATTAAATACAAAATCCTTATGCTGTATAGCAACTATCAACAGATAGTTAACACCTATTTCAAATGTTTTATTGAAACCAATTGCATGAGCAGAAAATGTTGGAAGAATTCTGTTTTAGAAAAGTATGCATAGTTTAAACATATCACCAAACTCTGAACATGACACTAACATGTTTTTCCCTACTGTTATCCCCTGTAATTTTTTTGTATTTAAGCCTATATTTAAAAAAATTTTCATTTTGATTTGTTTTATAACTGTACTGATCAATGAACAAACATATTTAAAATTAAATGTGCTGTATTTAAATATAGGTACCTATTCTTTAATTAAATCATACCCAAAATTATTAGCATCAGTAACTTTCAGCTTCAAGTTTCTTACTGGAACTTACTACATGCAATCTTGGATTTTTAGTGTCCTAGACAGCTTTTAAAATTTAGAGCTTAAAACCAGCCAAATGTGCATAATTCCTCTTTTTTTCCTTCTCCTATAATACTCAGTATGAAATTGTATACATTCAAAATCAGGCGTCTAGATGATAATAACTCATAAAGGCATAAGATAATTGTGATGGTATTAGTTGAAGTTGTGATTAAATTTAATCTGAAACTATTAAGTCTTAAAAAAAGTATTCTTTGCACTTGCAATCTAAAGTAAACCCCGCATTATTCAAGGGAGTGTCAGTGTCAGGATTTGGCTCTTTTTGAAATGCCACTACACTGAGAAAAAACTGACTGTTACTCCAACAAATTCAGGAGTCACAAGGTATCAAAATCACTACACTTGTAAAAAGAAAGCTTATTCTAATAATACAGTTAAGGATAAAAAGTAATTGCCCTCCCCAGCATCATGATTTTAATTAATGTTTTAAAAGGATTAAAAAAACCCAAACATAAACATGCCACTAGGCCTTCATCTTCCATATTCTGTTTGTAAACCAGAGTAAATTTGTTAAGTACTGATTTGCTAAAAAGATAGCTATAGCAGTCTCTTTTTAGACCGAATTTCTAATCAGGTACCTTTTATCTGTCTAGACTTACAAGGTGTGCCTATCGTTTCACTGGAGGGCTTTAGCTATAGAGAGCCTGTTTCCATAACTGGTACTTAAAGTCTGTTCACCGGTGAAAGAAACTTCTGGAGCCTTACAACGTTCTCAAAGCGAGCAATCAAATCATCCACAGGCCTCAAAACTGTTTTGAATTTGATATGTGGGAATCAATTTGTTGTATAGAGCAATATTCTGATTATCACAGCCATAATGGACGTTTTTCTAAAATAATTTCTGTCCTGACTATCCACCCTTGTGTGACATCTATAATCTGCTTTCCCTTAACATGCGTTAGTTTCCAAAGCTGATGGACAACAGACAACTTTCATCTATTCTATTTTAATAGTTCCACAGTCTAAACGATCTTCCAAGTTTGTAAAAACACACTGGGCTCTTACTCGGTGACCATTTGGAGCAGAGCTTACTACACAAACAAATTCAAGCATTAAAGCAACACATTTTCCTTGAAGTATCTCCCTGTAGAGATGTCAATATACTTAAACATACTAATTTTTAGTCCCTTTTCAAGACAACTATGGAATTATACTTCAGTTTCCTGTATCTCATTAAATTTGTGTTGTCACACTGTAGTTTAGACTATCCTCAGGACAAAAGGCTTAAGCAATAATTTCATAGAAGGAAGACCTATGACTTTGACCAACTGCACACTTCCTCCAAACCACAGACAAAAAGATGGCTGGAGAGAACGGGCAGGAAACTGAGGGGTTAAGAGGTGAGAGGATCAATATGCACTGCTACCCTTGTACCTTTTGTATCGCTCAAGGCAAAGGTTAAGTAGGGCATGGTATTTCCCTTCTGGCAGATAGGGGCAGTTAATAACATGGAGTGGGGATTGACTAGAGTACAAAAATGGCACAAAGGCAGCAATGTGATAAGGTTAATTACCAGACTTCAGTCTATTAATTTACATATAAGAAAGTAAAACTTTTCCTCCTCCACAAAAACTATCAGGGAAGAGCTCTATCAGAGGACTCCCAAAAGAGGTCCTTCCCCTGTCATCTCAGCCACAGAGAAGACAGATCACTCTAGCAAGATCTTTACAGACCGGGAACAGGAACAAAACTGGAACAGAACATAGTTTCAAGTACTCATACAAACAGCATGGAACTACTATAGAAATATAAATCTGTCTTATACAAATGTTTGTTTTCTGACTTTATTACGTAAATAAGCACCTCAAAAAAGCTATATACTATTTATAATATTTAGCTGCTAACTAAAGGGGTTGTTAGAAAATTAATTTTCTGATTTTCTTCTTGTTAGTAATTAATCAATTCTGAGAAAAGAAACCATCCTTCCTTAAAGCTACTATTTATGATAAAATTCTCATAGCAAATTAGTCATTATGAGCTTAATTTGTATAGTTCTTGGTCTTATGCCACTACTAATCAACTTGTGCCTCAGGAATAAGTCAAATAAGTCAGTGTACAGGTTTTTGTTTCTTTCTTTTTTTTTTACTGAATGAGCAAATCAATCACACATCAGTGTTGTAAATTTATGTGCAAAAGCATTGAAGTGCTTTACTACAAATTACAACGTAGAAACACGTTAACTAAACAATTAAATTCATACAATCAGATTTAGGAATATAACAACACAAAGAAGAAACAGAATTACAGTACATTTACAACACAAGACAAATACATGGAATTCATTAGAAAATATTGTAATAAATAATTCATGAATTATAGTGCAATTGATTTATGCATAAATATAACTAATTGCCTAAAAATCAGTTGTTAACAAAAATCTGTCAAAAATCAAGGCAGCCACAGAGTTTTACTAAATTACTGCGACAATGGAAATACTGCAATTAAAAAACAAATACAAGTATTTGTACTGTAAACAACTAAAAAAATCAGTCTCACTAAAGTTAATATACAATTTAATATAAAATTGTCATTAGCTACCAGAAATGGTTTAAACAACTTTACTGAGCAGTAGTTCTAAAAACAGAGGCACTGTTTTTTAATATAAAATACTTGAGAAACATTCAAATAAGTAGAAAGCATGTAGGGCTTGCTTTCGCCTTCATTTAAAATTCTGCTGAAACAGGAATTTTCAGAAGTTATCAATTACTAAGTAGTGACTGGTAACTGAATTTATAAAACAGTTCAAAATGTATAATTTAAATGACATTAATGAAATACATAGGGGTTGGGGGAGGAGAATTTACACATTTCCCTGCCTTTCCTTAGCTGTGTAATTAAACATTAGCCTAATAATTAGAGACAAATAATTCTGTTCTTTAAACACTTACAGGTTGAGTATCATCTATAAACTATCAAAAAATATTTTAATTACTATTTCTGACCAAAAAATAAATACAAGTACTAAAATGTTGAAAATTAATTATAATATTACATACAAAATTACTGAGTAGTGTTAAGTCAATAGTAAAATGATCCCTGATTTTATGAATCCTGTTAAATTTTTGGTCAGGTCATCTTTTAAATGATATAAAAAGAGTACTGTCACTTGCCTTCAATATAAAGTTCTGATTCAAATTTCTAACAATGTCTGAGGAGTAGAAAACATCAGTATGGTACAAATATTAGGCAATGGATTGAAGCCCCAGATTTTTGCAAGAAAAACTGTATAAAGACAGATGTTGAAACTTTTAAGGTTTTTTTTTCAGCTGCATTTTTCAGTGGGGATATATTCACAAATTAATCCTTCTGGCCCTCACAAAATATGGCTTAATTCTTTTAAAACAAAAGATGACCCTGACATCTGCTGTTCTGCCAACTTCTTATCAGGTACATTTCTGCTTAAAATCATAGAATCACAGATTAAGCTGAGTTGGAAGAGACCCACCAGGATCACTGAGTCCAACTCCTGACCCTGCACAAGACACCCCAAGAATCATCATGTGCCTGAGAGATTCATTCTGTAATATGCAAGTAAACCTTAATGACTGAAGAAGATTCAGTATAGATCTGAGAGACCAAAGAACTGAGATACTAGTAGTGCAGTTTCAAAGGATTATTCTATTTTAAAGTGGAAGTTGTCATTTTTCAGTGGTGTTAATAGATGGGCTAGATTTTGCCACCAGTATTGCAGTATGCTCTCCACTGATTTTAATGGCAAGTTTATCTATAAATGAAATTACCTGATGTGTGCTATATGTATCTAACGTCACATTTAATTTCTATAATTAACCCATACACATGCAAATTTAAGTGGGGGGGAAAAAATGTGTGCATGGGTAAGATGTACATAAAAGTTGGAGAAAGTATTTTTTTTTAATGCCAAAATAGATACATATAGAAAAAATTACATGTTGAGAGGAAAAGGGCATTGATGTTCAGTAGTGAATGTATGAAGCAAGCCCCCATTCATATGTAGACATATACTTCTGATATTACATAAAAAAATTAAGTGTGATAAAAAGTCAAATGTGAATACTTTGAAATTCATGTAAAAACTGCAATATGAAGGTAATTGGTCTCCCTTAAATTCTATTAAAAGTTACGTATTTAAAATGAACTGCCTAACTTCTAACTACCAAATTTATAAAGAATTTATACTATTGAAAAGTTCAAAACAGTTTCACTGTTTCATATTTGTATTTCTATCAAGACCCTGAACTGCAAATTTGGTTATTAGCAAGATGATAATGTAACTTGGTATTCATTTTGTTAAACTGAAAATGTTTTGAAATGTCACAGCAGCAAATACATTACAGTTACAGTGAGGTTTTTCAATAGGAGTGTGACACAATCCTTAAATAAATTTTAAGTAGTCATAACATCAACTAACCAGCACGTTTAAACAAAAAAACAAACAAACCCAAACCATTCTCAAGCTCATTCTGTGCACATTATGAACATGCTCTAAGATGCATTCCAACTTTCTTTTTAAGCCTTACAAGTTACCTTAATTGTCAAACTAAAAAGGAAAATTATGTTAAAATTTAAATTATTTTATGCTCTTAGTATTCCATCTCATTTCATATTTAATAATTCTATAACTACAGTAATTTCTCAGATTTCATAAGTGTACACTTTGTAAACACCAATTTCTTCCTAAACCAACAACAAAATTTTCTTAAAATGATAAAAAAATGCAGTTTATGCCTGCTAAACACACATTTTTGTAATGAAATGTTTTTCTTACTTGTATTGGATATTTAAATAACGAACTTTTTTCTTTCACAGAATGTACTATATCCTACTAATACTTCACAAATCCACTTCCTTGTGAGGAACTATCTTTTTTTAAAAAAAAAAATCCCTTGCTGTGTATAATCTGAGTTACTTACAATTTATTGCAAGTATTCTGTGAACTATAAAAGTCTGCTAACCCTTGGTTGTGTATTTCCGTAATAAGATGGATAATTAAATGGGTAAAGTGGTTCTTCACCAATTAAAAATTATGCTTCACATGACAAATACTTGTTTTCCCAAAACATCTTTATGCTAGTGACTACTAAATAAACCTGAATCTTTTCACCTATTTATACAAGGATTATATTAAATACACACTATCAGAATTAAGTGAGCAACTCTATAATTCTGTCCACAGTGAAAACCCTGAATAAAACTATTTTTCAAAAGGCATGTATGTGGTTTTTGAACTGTATCATTTAATGTCTTCTGTCAGAGTGAGCATATGTATTTCTCACATAGTGTGTGTATACAGACATACATACACACACACAAAACAATTTGCTAACAATTATTCTACACAGGCTTGCTACTATTTTTGCAGCTGCCAGTCCCTGAATCTGTCATATTAAATAAGCCAGTATCTGGTAATCGGAGTTTCTTCTTCGGTGGAGTCTTCAATGTTCCAGATCTTTCTTTTACTTTATATTCTAAAGTGCTGTGAGGTACCCCATAAATTCCTTGTGCTTTGGAAACACTCATTTTCCCACTCATTACCATTGCAATTGCTTCTTCCATTATTTCATGGTCATACTGCCGATAGCGGCCACGTTTTTTCCTTGGTTGCTTATTATCTTTACGATCCAAACTATCTTCTGTATTTTCTGAGGTTCCATCTACTGTCCCATTCTTAGCATTAAGACACAAAGGAGAGAGGTCCCCATGCAGAAAGTAGGAGTCAACACTTGAGTGAGTTACAGGTCCAGAACATTCAATTTTGTTCTGTTTAGGGAGGATATTTTTCAATTTTTGAAGAGCTGATCCTTCTAAGACTGAGGAGGTTTTAGAAACGTGGTACATAACATCCAGAAGACCAGCAGTATCAGACTGTGGTTTGGACACAGAACTTATTCTTAGCTGAGGAATTTTTAATTGTACAGTAGGGCTTGAAGTTTCATATTGTAGATTTTCACTTTTTTCTTTAAACTGAGTGACCATTCTCTGTAGAGTTAACTGGTGGAGGTAACTGGAAGCTGTTGGGAATTTTAATTCTGAGGTTTCAAGTAGACTGAGTTTACTTTTTTCTGTGCGCTCTGCTTGAGCTCTTGCCCACAAGGCTACTTTTTGTAGGACTGCACAAGTTTCTTTACTGTCTTTAAATGAATAACTATCATTGAAATCTCGAGTTTTATTTTTAAAAGGTGCAGGCTTTCCTGCTGGTAAGGCTTCTAAGTGGAGAAGTAAAGTTTTTTGAGGTATGCCATAAAGTATGCCTGCTTTATTTATGTCCAGTGCTCCAGACTGAATGTCTTTCAAAGCTTTTGAGAGCAAACCATCTGCAAACTCAGCACTTCTTTCCACATAGTCCTCTCTGTTTCTGTGTAGTCTCCTGGATGGATGGAATGAAACGATGGTAAACTGATGTATGAGAGACTCTCACACAGCTATGGAAGGGAAGGGTCCACTCCTTTATTATACTCCTTGCTTCGGTAACATCACTGCTTCTGATACTTTTTAGCCTTTGAGATGTGGTAGTTAAATGATTATCCTAACAAAATGTTACAGTTCTGGTAGGACAGTGTCAAAAATCATACCGTGGCTTCTACAGCAGCCCTTCCAAGAACTTTATATCCTAGCCCAGTATTTGGTAATAGTCTCATGTGCTTGCTATATTCCCTCGTTCACATGCTTGCAGAGCAACACTTGTAATTTTAATTACACAATTAACGTTCCATTAGAGACCCAAATCCTGAAGGAGTTTTTGTTAGTAGAAACGTGACGTTACCGCTAAACAAGTAATAAAAGAGTCAACCCCCTCATAGGAAACTTGCAGCAATAAGTACATAACTACACACAAACATCCCAGACTTACACAAAACTAGGCTTTCTACAACAAGAAGATAAAGTGCTGTAGTTAACAATCAAGTCCATTTTTCGCAAAATAAGACAATTTCTAAAGCTTCTACTCACTATTTACAGCTCACTAATTACAAAGCCATTCATTTTCAAACTTTTTCATATCAGCAAATTAATAAAGTGCACTTTTACATCATTCAACAAATGCTGCTACTGTAGTCCTATTCGTAGTAAGTTATTTGTAAGACGTACAGGTGACAAAAAGAGTCCTGCTATGGCTAGTGGATGGGAGAATGCCAAGATCATAAAATCCAACAAAATAATACAATTCACTAATTTTGTGGTAGCTTTCAGCAGATGCAGTAATGTTTTCCTTGCTGAATAAAGAAATTTAACTATTTGCCACCACACACCATAGTCAGAACCATGATGCAAGTATAAGTATGATGATTAAGAGCTCTCTCTCACGCGCTTGCTCTCTCTATTAACAAATATTATAGATAATAGTCATTTAACTTGTTCATGTTATTTGAAGAAGATTTGACATCTAATTATTAACATGGTCATTTCTGTCCAAAATTGAAGTTCCCTAAATAAATTCTAAAATAAGTATTTGCATTTTCTTCTACTAGTCTCTTACTTTTAATGTGTTATGTAATCAATTTTCATGTAATTTTTAGTAACATGAACTAAAGTTTGGTGATTGTTCTGATAACTTTTCTTTAAACAGAAAAAAAAGGAAAAAGACAAATGAAACATATGATATATACATAGACACACACTTATGAGTGACAAAAATTCTTTTGAAAGCAAAATAGGAACCACATGTGTGTGCCAGTATATACAGGTATGTTATGAACATAAAACCTGGCCAGAGAAAAGAAACCTGGATTGTCTTTTTGATAAGCCAAAGAGAGTCCTAAACATTGCTTACCCAGACACTGAGTTTTCAGAACACAATGGATCATATTTTGGTTCTTCCAACCTTGCGCTTTTCTTTGTAGAGAGATCTAGCACTCCATCCCCTGCAAAGAACGAGTAGTGATGATAACAGTGGTTTTAAGGAAGATCTCAGAGATTTTTGTCAGCAAATGTATTCTCACCTATGGCATAATGTTCAAACAGACACTTTATCTTGTAAAATTTCTGACACCTTATTCCATTAACAGTATCAGCCATCAGAAAATGATTTTGTATACTTGATTTGTAACCAAACTTTTTTAAATTTGAGAAAAACAAAAAAAGTAAACCCATTCAGAAATAAAATTTAAAAGAACCTGTATTAACCAACCATGACTGCTTTCCTAAAAATCACTTTTTACTTTCAAGGCAACCAAAACAATGCACTTGACATTATTTATATACAGTAAACAAACACACAATTCTGATGCTGAAGTTGAACTTGACATAACTAAATCCTAGCCTTACAGAACAATTCAAGCCAATAAGGATTCCAGGAGGCCTCCAGACCAACCTTGTGCTCAGAGCAGGGTCAGCAATGACACCAGACCAGGTTACTGGATGAGCAGGTACCAGTAACTGGGTAACTTCCCAGTAACCAGTAATGTCCCCATAACTGGGAAAAGAGCTTGAGCCCAATACAGAGTTCTAACACTTCAATTATACATACTCCTCCTGCTGCCTCCACATATATGCAATAATATTAGAAATTGAAAGACCTAAAGTAGGGTGGGAGTCCACTCTGTCAAGTCACTGATAAATGTTAAATTAAAGATTTATAATTGGCTGTTAAAAACTATGAAGTATTGAAATAGAAAAACATACTTTTTAAAAATCAATACTTAAAAACATTAACAGTTGAAATACTACTTTTAATTTTTTTTTCTTAAAAAAAAATCAATTACATTTGAATTATAATTAAATACCCTAAATATATTTAATTTCATACCTTTCTTCCTTGGTTCCCTCTTTCAAACTTGGGCTGTTTTGTGTGCCTGAGCTCTGCGAATTCAATTTTAAGTTTCAACATGTAGCTCAACATTCAATTCTATAATCACCCTTACACTACCCCTTATTGCATTTACAGTGTCATTTTAATGTTACTGCCTATTATTTTTAAAACATCAATCAATCACACATATTTTCCCATAGCCTCAGATGCAGATGACGAAGCACTGGTTGAAGGATCCAAATGCCAACCATCAAATAAGAAGTCAAGAAAATTGTTTGGGTAGCTCTCCTTTATACCAATAATGTAAAGTAATAGAGTTCGTGTAATAATCAAATTCAGATATTTTTTTTTTTCTCTGCTTTTTGACTGTTCTTCCACAACTATTTTGTACTATTTGAAGGAGGTCAAAGAGAGAAAAAGGAACATCACAACTCAGCATTAGGGGATGAATATATATAAATATACCACTTGGCAAAGGTGCTCCTTTTCACCTGAACACATACCTTTCAAAATCTTTCATAAGAAAGTTAGAGTAAGGACTAATGCTAATCAACCTTCCTGATTCATTGATATTACAGAAGAAAAAGCCAATTAAGAACTCTACAAAAAAATTCTACGTAGACTTTTTGGCCAACCCAGGAATACCCAAGCTCAACCCAAAGTCCCTTAGTCCTGTGCAACAGACAGATTTCATCTGTTGTGTTCTGTCAGTGGCACAAAGTACATCTCCCTTTCTTAAGTGCTTGTGTGTTCCCTTACGCAACATTCTCTCCATCTTCAGTTGATACAGACATCACAAAAAAGTTTAGAAGACATTACTGGAAAAAAAAAAAAACGACTTCAAAGTTGACAACTTATCAAGCAATAAAAAGCTAATTGTCTCTCCACCAATTTACAAAGAAAAAAAAAAAAAAAGCAAAGCTAGCTAGATTTTTAGTAAAAGAAAAAGCCCCAACAAATAAACAAAATCCAAAGGCTCTTGTAAGATTCCATAATGAAAATAATTTTCATTCCCAATCTTTCAGAATTGGCTTTGCCAACACGAGGCTAGCAATCAGTTGAAAAGTGATTAAAAGAACACAGCAGTGAAAATTCAGCCTTCTGAAACAAAAAACTAGATACATTTTCAGTCTCTAAAGGATATGCAGAATTGAAGTAATTTGAAGTTCAAGACATTTGATTCTTCCAACACAGCAAATGCAGATTCATTAAGTACATGACAGCCCCCTGAAGACAATGCTTTATGGGAAGATGATATTCAGTATAAAGAATCATAAAAAATTTGATATACATGCAAAATATCAGATAGAGTCACTGGACTACAGATTTTTTTAGTAATTTCATTTGAATTTAAAAAAAGCAAATTAAACCCCCCCCTCCCCCCCAAAAAACAAATAACAGAAACAAACAAACCAAAAAAACCCACTGAAACCAACAAGAAACAATCCTCACAAAACCCCACCTGAAACTGGTAGGAAAATGAGAGCATTTGCTATAAAGCTCTAAGACATAGTGAAATCCTACCTAATGAAATGAATTTGTGCATATATACACAATTAAGATATTCAATTTGGTACATTAGGACCAAATTTGGTACAGGACCAAAAAGTTTGTGAAGAGGTATCCTACAGATGAACTATGAATCTTGGAAGCTTGTTACTTGCAAGATAGGAGCAGTCTTTGCTAAACTAAACTAAAGAGGCAGAACTTTCTATTATTTCTTACAAATCAGTCAAAACAGGTATGCAAGAATTCTGGACAGGAACTGAATTATATCAGGAAGAGAAAAACCACTCTCTAAGGTGGCTTTAATAAAATATATGAAATTACTTCTACTCTTTAGGCGAAGCCATGACTACTAAGAAGTGAGTCTTCATAAAAAAAAATATGTAACACTGGATAATATAGAAAATATATTAAATGCTTTGGAGGTTTGCTACTCATGGTCTTCTAATGTAGCTATTTCTATGCAAATTAAATTATTCTTATCTTCAAAGAAATGGCTCAACCTCTGGCCTTTGGTTTTCAGCACAAGATCATCAGGTGCACCAATATCAAGATGAAACTAAGTGTGATCAAAGTTCATTTTCTAAATAATAAGGACCACAATCACTTGAAACTGCTCCAGACTAGTGATGTTATGGAAGCAGGGAGGGGAACAGGAAGCAACAGAAACCAGGTCAGCCTAGAGTTTCTACAACTGGTATTTCTACATTGATTTCTAAACTGAGGTTTTTTCTGGGTTTCAGAAAATCTCTCATTAGTTATTATGAACTGTCTTACTACATCAGATAAACTACTCTACTCAGTTCACAGCCCCCAGGCAGGGGGAGCACTCCACTCCTAGTGTGGAAGAACACATAAGTCTGGCTACTACCTGCAGCTCTTTGCTCTCCTGCCCTCCTATCAGCTGCTATCATTGGCTTAAGGATCTCAGAGATTTATCCCTGCCTACTCTAACTTTAGTTTCTGGCCTTGGTTCTGTTGGCTGTGAAGTCTAAGGCCCCTTGTGAACCCAGTGACCCATGACCTCCTGTCACAGCAGTTCCAATGTTTAAGAACTGTTGAGCAAAACCTGCCCATTAACTGTCTCTTCCTCTAAGAATTTTCAGAGAGCACTACCTAGTTTTAATATAGTAAGATTTAGTAAATAACAACTCTCCCTTTACCTTATCCATCCAAATAAGGGGTTTTGTAGCAACAAAACAACACCTTTGTCTTCAGCACTTTTCCTGATCATGCCTTGCCTTTTGCTGGCTATTCTCTGTGCTTCTGAACACAGAAAGTGTTTTCAGGAAACTGTCAGTAGGAACACCAAAGCTTTTTATTACTTCTTAACTAGCACTTTGAATAGCCCCTTTTGACTTAAAAGTGCTATTTTGTAACATGAAAAAATGCCAGATGAAATTGGGTGGTCATGGTATCTGTGAGAATAGGACAGGGGCTGCTCTGTGCTGGGTAGAGATGGCTGGCTCCCAGACCTACTGGGCACAGCTGAGTCCAGCAGCCACTTGAGCAGAAACTCCGGAGAACTGTATTTAAGAAAGGGGGAAAAAGTGTCAGACGGACACAAAAAATGGGAACAAAAACAATGAGAAAATGGCAGAGGTAAGTCCAGTGGTAGAGAGAAACCATTAGGTACAGACTGTGGACAGCCCACACCCAATCCCCCTACACTACAATAGGTGGTGGTGGTCACAAGGGAGCCTGGAGTGAAGCTGAGCCTGGGAAAGGAGGGAGGAAAGGCAGTGTTTTAATGACTCTTTTGTTTCTACTGCCTGAATTAACAATGAAATATTTATGTTAATAAGCAATAATTCAAATTATTTTTCCCAAAGTCTGCTTAGATGGCAAGTGGTAGTAAGCAATGACCATATCCTTCTATCAACTCATAAGCTCTCCTTTCTGTTCTTCCCGTTTTCTCCCCTGTGCCATTGTGAGAGAAGTAAGCAAGCAAGCATCTGGCAAGGAGCTTGGCTGTTAGCCACCATGGAAGCCAGGGAAGAAAAACACCTACTCCCCTCAAAACTGTAGCTTTTTAGGGTGACTTTCTCATGCAAACGTATTAAACTATTTCTTGAATATATTTACAGCTCATACAATTTATCTTAGGAACATAGCATGTATATCTTCAAAACGCATACTATTTTCACCAATAAAAATAGTAAAAATGGGATCATAAGAAAAAGAAGCTTATTTTCAGTAAAGTTTGGAATTCTTTCAAAACACTGCTAGCTATCTTTTGATGTCTTCCAGTCTATAATGGCTCAATGAAACAGGAGAATTATGAAAATTTTCTTGCATATTTTGGCTATGTTTACACACTATCAGTGTGTGGTTCCAGGTATCTTGGTTCCAGAAGATCCAGAAACAAGAATAAACTTGCGCAGCTAAACCTGCAGATTATATATTTGTACTGCTTCTACTCACTCTTGAAGTCACTTTTCTTAGAAGCTTGAGAACTAGCAACTCTCCTGCATCTACCAAGTCAAAGAAGCCTCAGCATCAAACTTTGCTGCTGCTAGGAATGTTCCTGAAAGAGTTCAGCCCCATGACTGCACAAGGAAATAAGCTGCTACACGATATTCCAACAATGTCCCTTACTCACCATTTCATTCTGCAAGGATGTTGCTTCTCCTCTGGCTTAATTTAGAGGAAAAGCAGTATTGCAAAAGTACACATTATCACCCCACTTTTGTTAGATGCAGTGCATTGAAAACAGGTTTTGTTTGACTATGCAGAGTCATTTTCAAGGCCTGGACAGTCTTAAGAACTACATGGATTAGAAAAAGGAGCAAGATACATTTTTGGAGACAGTTGCTGCTAATTGATTGACAGTGAAATGATTGCCTGATTACCAGCAAGGCACACAGGAATTAAAGCACCCTGCTAAATTACCACACTTCCACCTGCAGAGGAAAGTAGAGCATGCTCTAGGACTCTACTACCAGTCAGGTGTCAGCTGGACATACCTGGATGCTAGTGCTTAAACACTCATAGTAGCAAATGCTGCAGTTCCAGAGGAGCAACAGGTTTATCTCAGCCAGTAGCTAGACACAAACTCAGCCCCTCTATCACTCCCCTTCCTCAATATGGAGGGCAGGAAGAAATAAGATGAAAATCATCACGATAAATACAGAGAAATCACTTGCCAATTACAGGCAAAACAGACTTGGGGAAAATTAATTTATTGCAATTTAAAATAGATTTGGATAATGAGAAAAAAATAAAAATTAAAGCACTTCCCCCACCCCTACCTTTTATCAAGCTCTCAACTTCACTTCTAACCCCTCTATTCTCCCCCATCCCCAGATGGCATAGGCAAGATTGAGAATGGGGGCTAAAGTCAGTACAATTCTTCTTTACAGCTCCTTCTCAACAGGCCACAGATCCTTCAGGAAACACCCAGTGCTCCAATGTGGGGTCTTCCACAGACTGCAATGGGAACAAGTATCTGCTCTACAAGCTGCAGTGGAACACATGCTCCACCATGTTCCTCTCCATGTGCTCCATGGAAATACCTGCTCTGGTGCCTGGAGCATCTCCCCTCCCCTTTCCCTCACCTTATTGTTCCCAGTGCTGTTTCTTACCCCTCTGCCTGTCCAGCATTTTTCTGCTTTCCTAAGCATGCTTTCATAGCAGCACCACAACCCAGCTCCTGTGCTCCACTTCAGCCTGGCACAGGTCTGTGGCAGAGGTGGCTGAGCCCCACACAGGAAAGCCACAACACTTTCTCCCAGATGCCACCCTACAGCCCTCCCCAGTTACTAATACCTTGCCATGTAAGCCCAAAAATCAGGGCTAGCAGGTCTGGAAGTGTCAGACTTGAAGAATTTTTGGCTTAAGAAATGGCCTCCAAATACTGGAGGAAAGTAAGAAGGTCTCTTTAATGGAGAGCTTCAGTGGCAAAATCTCTTTTCAGTGCCGAGTTAGCACTTAGCTTGGGTCTGCTCACTGCTTCTAGTAATCTGGAAAATACAGTTTACTCCTACCTCTCAAGCTGAAGAATCACTCTCACAGCAAAGGAGCAAGATTGTCTATTTGACTAGTTTGATCATTCATTTCAAAGATAACTATTGTAAATACAAATACAGTTGCCTAAGCAGAAAGTGAACCTAAAGAATTTATACTTAGATCACAGTCTTCTTAACAGAATTTAAGACTTCAACTTTGCGGATCCATCAAAGCAATGTAAAAATTTGAAGTTCCTCCTCTGTTACTGCCACTTCATTTGGTAGTTGTAACAGGAATTAAAAATAGCAAACACTAAAGAAAGTTGCATGACATTCAAAAAACATTACTAAGAACAGAACCATGGTACAGCTTTTACAAGTCTCCAGACCAAAGAAGTATACTATGTTAGAGAATTATACATTTCAAAAAATAATCCAATTAAAAAACTTTCATAATTCCCTACCATAGGCATATGACACTTTATTATAACCAAGCTGTCTTCATAAAAAGTACAGAACTGACTGAGAGATAGGTGCAATAATAATACACAATCCCTGACAAAAGCTAATTGAACTAACTTTTTCATGAATCTTTGCACTTAGAACACAATGCAAACAACAAGAGCAGGCTGACATTTTTCATCTTGAACTTATTGCCTGTGTTGCCATCACTACAGTGAAAAGCTAAAATAGCTCAAAATTAACACCTTCAAGGAAAACAGAAAGCAAAATACAATTTTCCTGGTAGGTAAGATGTTCAAGCCACCTTCAACTACAGTCTTATTCCACTATTATTTCTCATTTCAGCATCTCTACATTTCACAGCAAAATGTTACTTTTAACATCTAAAAAGCACTCCAGCAAACATGGCAGTGCAAGTCCTGAGACTCTGCAGTGTCTTACATGGTTTAATGAGTAACTTTTACACTGTGTGGTGCTGAGCAACTATTTTAGATTTAGGTGTTTCACTGAAGGAGGTGCACAATTCTAAGCTTGCTCTTTAGCTTCACTGTAAGAAAAAAATCCAATGACGTAAAATGATTATTTAAATAACTCAATTTCTCTGTATTTTAGATTTTTCTTAGACAAAAGATCAATGGATTTTCAGAAAAGGGTGGCAGCATAACTTTCTTCCTGTCCCTGCCTACTTTCTGCCTACCCTTTTCTTATAATCATAATTATTTACTGCTGAAGTAAGCAACACGCTATAGTGCTGGTATCATGTAAGTATCTTTTATTGCTCTTGCAAAAGAAATGTGCTTAAACCTGACCAATTATAAACCTCTAAGATCGGTAATTCATCCATAGCAAAATTACAGCCAAGCACAATAGGTATATTCTCAGGATTTAAACCACTAAACATTTACTAAACCCTGGCATGAACTGGTCTGACCATACAGAATAAAAGCAAGAATTATAGTATTTCTTAATGTTTTTTTTCTGTCAAAGAGAAAGGATGATTGAGATTTAACCTAGAATAGATATATTTATCATGAGGAATCCATCAGCACTCCCTGCCCCCAAGGATCTCCAATTGAAGACTGCATCATTAGGTACACACATACCAAATCTGCTCATGTATATCAAAATAAAAAAACAAAAAACCCAGACAAAACCCAAGAAACTTAGTTCTGGCTTCTTTCAACTATTTTAGTATGGTACATCACATACAGGTCAACTTTTCCCTTTGATCTGCACTGTTACAGAATTAACACAGAATCTCGTATCTGTAAAAGACAAAACCTGCTTTTGCCACTGCTTTCAGTTGCACGTGACAGTCACAACCCCTCCTGAAAACTGCTGCTAATCCAAATCTAGTTCAAAGTCCAAAACACTCTTGTGATTATACTGTTATCAGTTTTGGATAGCAGTATTCCTTGAGGCAAAGAAATTATTTCCTTTTAGCAAATGATAGTGAGACAGACTATCTTTCCAGCTTTACTCTCAGTTAAGAAAGCTGCACTGATCTGTAATGATTAAGGTATGAAGTATGCAAATTTTCTCCCAGATTAATCTTCTTTTCTCATCATTCTAACCAGCCTGTATTTAAAGAATCAAAGTGTTCAAGAGCTGACAGAGACTAAATGACATCTGCTCTCTGAAATCCCAACACCTTTTAATCTTTTCTCAGGCTTCTTGACGGGCATTTCTTCAACAAAATTTTGGACCACTGTTACCTGTGCCAGCACAGGTGAGAGGACCTAGATTCAGTATTCCAAAGCTGAGAAATTCCAAAGCTACACAGGCACTCAAAAATCAGAATACTTATCTGCTAACACACAATATGAAAAACGGACATTTATTTTTTAAGGGAATAAGATACCATAAAATAAATAAGTGACAGCAAAACACAAATTATTAGATATAAAAATTTACCTTGCTGAGTATTCTGTTCTTGAGTTCGATTCACAGTGAGGTCTAGAGGGCTATCCTGTTCTTCCTGAAGGGAGTTTTCCGTTTGGTTCATTTGGATACTTTTACACATCAGACTTGGCTCAAATGATGAACCATTTCTGTTCTCTTGAATTTTGCTACTTTTTGAAATGTACTCAATTGCAAACTGACGGATCATTTTTTTCATTAATTCCTGAGCAACTAGGGGAATGTTAGGATCACAGTTCTGAGGAAGATCTAGAAATAAAAAACACAGGCAACAGATATATTAAGAACCAAACTTAATCACTTTTCTTATAAAAAGTACTTCCTATAAGCACACAAATGTGTACACACAAATAAGTACATGTGCAATGAACATATTAATTCAGATGTCTATCAAGTTTTTTTTAATGAGCATTCCTAACTGAAGTCACTTGGAAAAACATATAGCACAGATCACTAATTTTTACCTTACTCCCCTATCATAGCATGCAAGTAAGAGTATGTGGGGTAGCATTACTTAGGCGTCTCAGAATCTGTATTGTTGGCAAACAAGTTGAATTTTCACTTGCAGACTGTTCATTTTCGGTTTTGAAAATGAAGAATTTTGAATCCAAACCATGAAAGTAAAATAAGATACGGATTAATATAGAAAGAAGTTATTTTCAAATTATAACAAAAATAATTTTAAAGTGTAGTTCTAAAGATTAGCCCGCTTTGTAACATGCAACAGTCGGACTTTTGAGGAACTGATCTTAAAAAGGGGAAAAAAAGCCAAAATGTGTTCCACTCTGAGATTATAATGCCCATTGTAGGTTCAGGATTGAAATGTCAAAACTGATACGACACTACTTGAAATGTCCCATACAACTTGTGGTAATACAAAGTTTTAAACTTTTATTGTAAAATCTTACAGAATTTTCAGGATATTTTCAAAGTGCTAGCAATAAAAACACTTGGAAGAAAAGCTTTATTTCCTATTCTAAACTGAATATATCCTAGCTTTTGCTTGTGTATGTAATATTTCAATGGAAAGAAGTACCTCATTTTAGAAACAAACAAAAAAAAGAAGGATCAAAGGTAACATATGACTTAATTTTAATGTTATCTATCAGCTAGAAAGAAGTTAAACCTTATTTAAAAAGCGTAACTGAAAGTGCAACTGTGAATCAACAAAAAGAATCCTAACAGAAGCAACAGAAAAAACAAAATGTTACTTAGCATAAATAATGTAATTAAGAAACTCAAACTAAGCTGTGCTACTGCATTGATGACTGCAACACACCATAAGACAATTGACCATACTCAGAGATCTGTGTTTTCCCTTAAACTGGCAGGAGTAGTACTTCATTATCCCACTCTTCCTTCTTTCCTTCAATTCTACACCCCTCCCCTCACAAATATCCTTTTCAATATTTTAACCACTGCCTCATCCCATAGGTAATGAGCGAAACAGTTTTCAGTCAAGGAAGAGGGATTTAAAGCAAATGTGAAAGCAATGAAGAAGAATTGGCTTTTAGGTGAGCCCTGATTGCCTCGAGGAAATACCAAAGGACATGGTTCTGTAGTTACTGGGATAATAAAGTTAATCTGAAACAGATAAAACAGATGATAAACTGAGGGGTTTTTTCATGGAAGTGAAGAAACTGAAAGGGCTGGGTTTGGTAGATGTTTGCATGCTAAGTGTACCTTTCCTAATAGGAAGTTTGGAGGATCACACAGCATATTTCATCAAGTATTTTATATGCCCATGAAGCTTTACCCATCTACTATCAAGAGAGTGACTGCCAGCACTGATCAATGAATGCTGCTCAGATTTAGGACGAATGCACAGAAGATCTTTTTCTTGTTTGTTTCAGGCTTATTTAAAACATCTTCCATTTTGAGAATTCATTTTCACCAACAGAGCATTGCAAGGAATTACAAACCTGCACCTATGAGATCTGCTGTCTATAGCACATAAGAGGGCAGCTGAATCACTGCTCAGATGCTTTCTGTCAAGACCTTTTGGTCTGCCTCGCCATAGTGCTTGGTGAGGCACAGTGAAGCTCCAGCATTTTTAAGACATCTTGGCTTCAAGAGAACTTACCTAAGGCATGACAAAACAAATCTGCTTATGGTTAAAGCCCTATCTTCCAACAATGCTTCAACCAGATCTCTACCAAAATACCTAAAATTGACAGGTGTTTCTTGAAGAGAGGTACAAAGTTAAATTCTAAACTATGGAGGATACCTATAAAGAGAAAGATCTCTTCCCACCATGTAACCTCCAGGCATAGCAATATAAACAGAGCATACCTATTTCCTGATTCCTAAATAATGAACTCAATAAACATTCAGCTGGAATTTACCACCCTAGAGACACACTTAGAAGTAAAGAGAAAAAAAATTCAACAGATAGTGGAGTAGTAAGGCAACAGGTATAATGTACTGATGCATATGCAAAATACAAGAAAAGAACACGAAAGTTAAGAAATGAAATTAAATAACTGAATTATCTAGGAACAAAAGTGTTTGCGTGACAGGGTAATGGTAGTTCCAGACAATGAAATCTACTGATCATCAGCTTAACCTGAAAACCCAAAAATGTGAATGCCTGTAATCAGAAATTGATACAAAACGAATTATACAAAACTTTATCAAGACTGAGTAGGGTCTGGAATGACCCTGCTTATACAGAGCAATTAGTTTGCTGCATGCACACAAGAAAAACTTCTTTGACAACTGATAATAAACTAATGATAATAGGTGATCATCAGTGAAAATGGGAGAATTATTTTACATCCTGGTGTGATCTGCATCTTTAAGAAGCAAAAGACCAGAGAGTACAGGGGACCTGCCATTAGCAGGAAAACACGACAGCCTGGAACAGGCTTATTAATCACCATCTCCTGCATTAATTATTATAAAACTGCAACACAGTCAGAACTGTCAGGTTTTTTCCACTTTAGACTCTGCACCAGTAGCCAATACGGGTCAAACCAATACAATATGGCCAAGCACATACTGCTTTTAAACACTTGCAGGAGTAGTCAGCTTTTCCCTTAGGAGCAAATTCATCTTTTACCTTATCTAGTTAGAATAATAAAGGATTTATTTTTTGTTTTTATAATAATTTCTTCAGTAATAGTTTATTTTTTTTGTAATGATTTCCAAATACTCCCTGGGAAGAATAAATGCAGAAGAATTTCTCATATATTCAATGGCTACAGCTATTGGCAGTTTACAGATTTTAAGTTAATTTACTCTAAAAAGGTAATATGATGAGGGGGTGGTGTGTGTGTATGTGTGTTATGTGTGTATCTAAGAGCACATACTCCGAGAGATGTGCTCCCAGGTTGCACATGAAGTGCTCTTGCTGCTAAATGCATATTCAATCAACAGGGCTAGACCAGGTAGTCTAAACTTATCTGCCATAAATACAAATAGTGTTGCTATGACATTGACTGTTCTGTTATGTAAATCATTAACTGGTAAATCATGGTGGAAGTACCTTGGGAGGTAAAACTGGTAAAACTGTTTATTCAAAGCAGACATCTTTGAGGTCAAAGCAAGTTCCTCTGGATTTTATGTAGTTAGGTAAGGAATACTTCCATGAATGGGAGACTCTACAACCTCTGGGTGGCATATTCTACTGCTTGCCTGTCCTCATTTTTCCTTACATTAAAAAGAACCTCTAATTTCAACTTGTTTACGATCTACCATTATCCTGCTATGCACCACTGTAAAGACTTTGACCCTGTCTTAAAATCATAGAATATCCTGAGTTGAAAGGGACCCATAAGGATGATCATCCAGCTCTTGGCCCTGCACAGGACAGCTCCAGGAGTCACACCACGTGCCTGAGATTATTGTCCAAATACTTCTTGAGCTCTGCCAGGCTTGGTACTGTGACGTCTTTCCTGGGGAACCTGTTCCAGTGGCCAACCATCCTCTGGGTGAAGAATGTTTTCCTAATATCCAACCTAAACTGCCCCTGGCACAGCTCTGGGACTGAGGTTGACCCCAGGCCTTGTCACTGGTCACCAGGTAGAAGAGATCAGTGCCTTCTCCTCCACTTCCCCTCAAGAGAAAGCTGTAACTGCAATGAGGTCTCCTCTTAGTCTCCTCCAGGCTGAAAAGGGCAAGTGACTTTAGCCACTCCTTGTATGACTTCCCCTTAAAATCCTTCACCATTTTTGCTGCCCTCCTTTGGACACTCTAATGTTTAATGTCTTTCTTATACTGTGGTGCCCAAAAACTGTCCCCAGCACTCAAGGTGAGGCCACCCCAGTGCAGAGCAGAGCAGGACAATCCCCTCCCTTGCCTGGCTGGCCATGCTGTGCCAAGTGCCCCCCAGGACAGGGTTGGCCCTCCTGGCCACCAGGGCACTGCTGGCTCATGTTCAACTTTCTGTCAGTCAGGACCCCCAGGTCCCTTTCTGTAGTGCTCCTCTCCAGTATCTCATCACCCAGTCTGTTCCGCCCAACATGGGGAAGAGCTTCATCCATCCTGTGATTCACAGTGGCAATCTTCCACTACACAAGAGAAATTTGTAATTAGTCATATAAAATTTTGAAAAATGGTGAAACACATTTTGGGCAAGAAAGGTATTAGAACTCTGAACTTAGTATCACTACCAAATATTTCTTAATTGTTATCAGCAGATGGCACCAGATAGACTTGGTATAACCTGAATAGGGTTTTTTTCCAAAATGTTTTATTAGGAGTTGTGACTCTAGCTAAAACTTGCTAAGTTTTAAATTTAAATGCCTACATCTGTGTAAACTCACATTTTTCACAGTTGTAAAATACAACGTACCTGTATGTAGTTCATGGATCATGTTATGTACATATATACTACTTCAAACCCAGTAGAACAGCCTCTAAAGTTTTAGAACAAAAGTTAGCCTTAATGTTCCTCTAGTTTCTCTCAGATCACTGCAGACCTGATGTCATTAGGATAAAAGAAGACTGAATTTGTATGATAAAATCTGATATTTTCTGCTCATGACTGTCAAGGTAACAGTTTGAATGCAAGAGAAGAGAGAAATAAATGTCACGTAATTATGACTAATTGTAATGATTTAGTTTAACTCAAAGCTCATGTTTAGGATTAATACTTCCTCAGTTTATGTGCTGCACGAGCTTGTAACTATTCAAATCTGTACTATTAACTATTCTGCACATTAACATTATATGTGATCACTAGACTGCAATGTCTGTGGTGACAGATTTGACTGTTTGGCAAGACAATGAACAATGAGTTAAAAGCTCCCAAAACAGTGTTCCACAACAGTATTTCATTTATGGAAAACCAGTACTTTTTCATTAAAAAGTCAACCTAATGACTTAATTTGTCTTCTGACACAATGCCAAAAGGTAGTGAAAAGCAGCAGGGAATCACAATCCCCCTTTAACCTTCAATCCAGTTGTGTGAAGAGCAGGATCAAGAATACATGATTGCTTCTCAGTGTGCTTGATAAATTCACTCCATCTCTCCCCTTTTTACATAAAAGCCACATTTTCTTTAAACAACCCCACCTCAACAGCCACTGTCCCAGTGAGGTTCGTATCTCTACTTGTAAAATTGTTCAGGTCACTGTTAGGTCATCAGCACGTTAAAGCAGGAGTACAGCTATTTATTCTGAGCCATGTATCATGATTAATTCAGTTAACTTGACTGACCAATAAACAGAAGGAATAAGTCCACTCTTCTGTTCTCATAAACATTCCACCTTTTTCCTTCCTCTATTCAGGTTGCAAACTTCACTACTCTATATCCAGTCATATTCTATGAATCCTCGTAAATGTAGTTGAAATGATCAAGAAATGCAGTCAGTGAAGACAGTAACACTGGCAGGTAGGTGGTCAACACAAAGTATGCTTTATTTTCTTAAGAAAGCAGTGAAACCACATTGAACATTCTTTCCTGATGAAGTTTAAGGGGAAGAGCAAAGCTGTCACAGTTTAACGCACAAACTCTGTCAAAGCTCTCAGTGATTAAGAAAACTGTCCAGATTTTGAAAGCACAAATTAGATTTCTTAAGACTATTAATCAAAAGAAACTGCAGGTTTTGAATGAAGTAGTGTGTGCAACTCAAAAAAACACCTTAGAAAATAACAGGTTTTTTTAATCTGATATAATGTGTGCATGATTACATCGTCATAGGTTTGCTAAATTAAATAGACATTGTCCAAGAAGCGTAACCAGCTTGTGACAGCTACGCAACTGCAAGAAAACTAGAAAACGACCAGAAGAACTCAAAGTAAAATTCAGGTATATGGTACGGTGTAAGAAAGCCATATTTATGAATGGAAATATTTTAGAACATAACCTGGATATCTGCAAATAGTAAAGAGCTTTAAAAACTTACAGGAAAATTATTTTGGGATGGGAAACATGGCATTGAAGATACTTGACAGAGTAGCCCAGAGAATCTGAAAAGACTCAAGTAATCTCAAACATTCTCTCTATAATTTTGTGCCTAAATTCCTTAACTTCTACAAGAGCTTCTCATGTCTCAGTTGTCTCTTGACAGATCATCTATCCTGAAGATAGAACCTGATTCACAACTGTTTTCTTTGGTTTGTTTAAAGAGGTCATATTAATACTGCATGGAAAAATGAGCTTCTAAGAACACACAATGTATATTACTAGAAATAAGGAAAATTAATAGTCCATGAAGAAAATGTCCGATCAAGCTTTTAAACAACTGTGATTCCATGGTGTAACAATGATCATGTGTCACATTCTATAATACTCATAGTGAAAAAAGACTTAATATGTATTTTTTAAAGCACACTGTGTTTCTCCCTTAACAAAACAGAACAGTTGAATTTCAGCATTATGGAAGTGGAAAAGCACCACAGTCTACTCTGCTTACACCACCAAAAGGGTAAACAGAGATGTCATATTTGGGAAGAAAGCATTTGGGTTTCAGACACACTGTTTAAGGGCAACAATCAGTGTTTGATGACAAGAAAGACTTGGATTTGCTGATGTGTCTGCTGAGCACAGGACTTTCCCACAGACAACTGACTACAAAACTAGTCTTTCACTAAATACATGGTGAAGTTGGGTTCCTAACGGGAATGCTTTAGTTGTTTACAGGATTTCAAGAGTTTACCTATTTTGGCAGGAGTTCTATCATCTTTTGCCCCAGATTCTACAGCCAAATTGACATACATTAATGTCTTTAGGCTGTCTGCTCCAGACAATAATATATCATGGCTGCATGCTTTCAGATCATCTGAACAAGTTTCCTGATACAAAAACCACCCCCAAACCCACAACCAAATCTCCTCAAACTAGTCTGCAAATTAAAAAAAAAATACATAAATTTCTTCAAAACAAAAGATTAATGGGACTAACAAATGAACTCTCTAATTTGCTCACTAATCCTGCAAGTTGCTCATAGAGGCCTAAATTAGCTACCAATAGCAAGAGAGTAGACCATCTTGAGGAGTTTGCAATCCAAACAAGTGCTCCTCCATTTTAAAGAGAATCAGAAAAGAATTCTACAATTTTCTAACAACAAAAGAATATCTGGCTTGGGACCAGGTATAAGAACTATTCCTTAGCTGAACAATTACTGGAATATTTTTTATTCCTTTCTTCCTAAGTTGATACTCGGAGTAAAAAACCTATAAAAATTCAGAAAGCAGACTTAGGATTTTCTTAGTACAACTCTTCATTCTTCCTCCTAAAATCCAAACCAGTTACTCGAATACCTCAAAAATTGGTTTCACGTGCCCTTTACTTTTTTTTCCTTTTCACTTTGCGTAATTTGAACAACTTTAAAGACTTTACTAAAACCTGAACTGAAGCAATATTCTTAGTAAATTCTTACTCAAGAATACAGAAATACTTCAGAGAATCACAAAAACAACTGGAAGTTTTGTTTTTCAATAGACAAAACCTCTTCAACCTAGCATTACTGGTCTGGCAGATCAAACCTAAAGAAGATGCTAAAAGCAAAATGTTCTTTGTGAAAAACTTAAAAGTCATTCACTCCACTAAGGTGAGGTCATGCCAAGTTTCACTTCTCCCATGATAGAAGTTCCTCTCAAGGAGTATAAAGAGAGATCATGCAGCAGGAGCACAAAGCAGGCGAACACTGAAAAACATTGGACACATCAAGACCAAGAAGAGCTCTGACAAAGTAGAAATTTGAAGGAATTAAAATATCTGCCTAGGGAGATGTCACACAATTGGGCCTGTGATGAGAATATAGTAAGACTTTAAGAAGTAACGAGGTGCCCACTTCATTGGACTTTTTATTTCAAATGGAAAATAGCTGGTTTCAAGGAAAGCAAAGAGTCCGAAGGATGGACTCAAAATGCTGTTGCACTCCATTTCCAGTTCTTCAAAATGCAAAAAAAACAAAATGTAGACTGAGTAGACACAAAGTCTATGCAGAAAAAGGTTCTACATACCCCAGGTTCAAGGGCATAATAATCTCTCCCGCTACAGCAATGTAAAAGGGAGAAAACTAACTTTGCTTTCTTCTCCCTATGTGAAGGAGAGACAGTGTCTGAGACTCTGTATTAAAAGAGAGCTGTCACCCTAACAAAAAAAAACAACAAAAAAAGTAAGAATAGCTGTCACTCAGCTTTTCTGACATCCACATCCTAAACCCAAGAAAAATCTATGAAAATTGTAGTTACTGCATTTACAGTAACTTCATTCACATTCCTTCAGTCACATGAATTTAAGGAAAAAAATGAGTATTTCTGCTTTTGCTGACAGTGAATCAAGTAACTTTCATGAACTAAGCTGATGTGTCATGTACTGACTTCACTCATGTACTGCTCTATCTTGATGAGTGTTGAAGAACAAGAACAGTGAAAGAATTAACATATTTTGACAAGAAATTTTAACCTCCAACTTGGATGCATTTGAAGGAGCAGCTTTCGTGCAAGAAGATCCCAAATCCCATTTTGCAATCTGCAAAGCATATTCTCTCACCTAAAATGCTTTTCCCATTAAAAACCAGAAGTGAGAATTTAGGAACAGAAAATGTTTAAATGCTTAGAATTCCAGAGAATGACACCTGAGGTTGGCATGAAACCAAAGTAGCAGCTCATGGTAAAAAGAAAAATCCAGTACTATTTATGAAGATGGATTCAGAAGAATGACACATAATGCAAGGTGACAAAGAGGAATGGCAAGTAGGAAGGGTGGTACTTCATTTGGTGATTCAAGTAAGAAAAAGATTAAGGAAAACAAAAGGAATAAAAAAGAGAAATAGAAGAAACATCTATTTCAGTAAATAAAAAAATACTTATGAAAGAAAATTAACCCTGAATAATTTGATTCTTCTAGATTTTTTTGTCATACTTCATAATACAAAAGACATGCTTGTATTACCTTTCTTTCGAAAGAGTGCATTTAGATAGTTTTCTGCTTGGCATTCAATCTTATCAGTGTTGGACTGGCCCTGAGATGACAGTTCCTCTGTAGGCGTTGACTGTGAAGAACCGAAAACTGATGCACGATCCTAGAAAACATATGGAGATCAAAACATCTTTCAGAAGTTAGTCTGCTGGTAGTAAAATACACAATTAAATTACTGAGCTATGGAATGAATAGAACCACTAAAATCAAACTACCTTGAGTCAAAATGCAGAATTAAACTTATTTGCAAAATTCAATTCTCTGACTCTTACTTTCATACCAAAAAATGAGTGTTGGTGAGTAATGCTTAAAATAATGCTCATACTTACACTGGCTGTTTCTTTGTGTAAATTACAAAAGGAACATTTCTCATCCATAGACCAGTCAGTTAGCTCTTCTGGCTCACAGTCTTAAAGGAAGAAAAGAAAGCTAGATGTTTTAAACAAGCAAAAATGGATTTTGAGAACAAAATACACTTCCTAAATTTCTCTTAAATAAATATGATATGTATTATTGGTACAATGCATTCAGTCATATTCAATTATTCAGATATTTTTAAATTCTTGTCTGGCTTGTACAGCTCAAGTTACGAATAGCAGAGAGTGCCTTTCTTAAAAGAAAAGGTAAATTTGTGTAATTAAATTGATTATCTGTCAAAATTACTTGGAGGCATCTGAATATTGCAAAGAAAGCTCTGAACTGCAGACATCATTCTTTTTAACTAAGCATGCAAACTTGTAGTAAAATAAGCTAAGAATTAGGATATGGACTCCTCACCATGTGAGCTACATGCATTATACTTATAGTATTTTAATTGATTTGATACCACCACCATAGGTAAATCCAAGCCTTATACTCACTTGTAGCTCTTGATATATCTAGAGAAGTACCTTTATATGTTTTATCAGAAAATGTACTTTGGTCTAGAGGGAATGCAGGACTTAAATTGCCCATATCAAATCCAGTCTTCTACTGAATGGAGGCACATAACCTACTTTCTTTAAACAAGCTACTAAACTCCATTTCAAAAATTAAGAGTTTTCAGCCAATACCCTTCTCTTCATGAACACCAGTTACTTTAAAACTTTTCCCAAACCAACTGCGCTAATAATTAAAATTAAGCTTCTAATTTATTGTTTAAAATTGCGCATGGCAACTTATTCCAGTTTGCTTTTGTGGCAATTTTATTCTTGTACCCATGAACAATAGCTAGGAATCTAGCACCCCGATGCATTTACAGACTTTCATTATCCCCTTTACACTTAAGTTTGTGGCTAATCTAGTCCACCTGGTTTTCCTCACGAGACTCAACTCCATCTCTTCTGCACAAGTCTCATTTGAACACCTGTTTCCTGAACATGGGGGCCAAGATCTCAAGATGAGATCTTTTACCTTTACACCAGACTTCCTTACACTGCAGGCAGTACTTTTCCTACAGTATTCTAGTTAAGCAGCAGCCTTTATTACAGCTGCAGTGTTTTGGAAGGTGTATCAAAACACGATTAACTACAACTCCAAGGTCTTCTCCATGCTGTTCATTTCCAGTTCCTGTGCTTACAACAGAAACAACTTTTTCATTCCCCTTATTAATTACCAGGTATGTTTCCTCCTTTTCTCCTTACCACCAAATTACAATCAGTTCTGTTTGGGGAGGTTCTTGAGATTATCTACTTTCAATAACACATGATGGTAGCCTGATCTTGGCTGGCTGGCTGCCAATCCCCCAGTCACTGCCCCTCTTCAATAGGGTGGGCGTGAGGAAGTAAGACCGTAGGGGAGAAAATCAGGGGGAGAAACTTGTAAGTCAAGATAAAGACAGGGAGATCACTTACCAGTTACTGTCACAGGGAAGTCAGACTCAACATGGGGAGAATCAATTTAATTTATAGCCAATAAAAACAGATTTGCATAATAAGAAAGGGAAAACGCTAAACCACCTTACCACCCCTTCTTCACAGGTTTCAGCTTCATTCCTTCATTCCTGACTCTTCTACCTCCTTCCCCACCCCAAACAGTGCAAGAAGGATGGGAAACGGGCTGCTCTCAGTTCATAACAGTTCCTCTATGCCACTTCTTGCTCTTTTTGCCCCACCTTAGGGTCTTTCCCATGGGCTACAGGCCTTCATAAACTACTCCAGTGTTCTCACAACTGCAGCTCTTCATGAACTGCTCTAGTATGTGTTTTTTCCACAGGGCACAGTCCTTCAAGAAGAGACCACTCCACAGACCCACAGCTCCTACAGAAAATGTGCTACTGCATGGGCTCCTCTGTATAGGCTGCAATTCCTGACAGAGGCCTGCTCCAGCATGGGACCTCCAGGAGCTTTCTTCAGGGCATCTCCACCTGTTCCAGTGGGTCCTCCATGGGCTGCAGTGTGATATCTGTTCCAACGTGGTCCTCCATGGGCTGCAGGTTATACATGCTTCACCATGGTCTTCTCCAAGGGCTGCAGAGGAATCTCTGCTCCAGTGACTGGAGAACCTCTTCCCTCCTCCTTCTCTGACCTTGGTTCCCACTGCCCACTATCCTCCACCCTCTTCCTGCAACTGCTGAACTTTTACTTCTTCTCAAAGATATTATTAAAAAGGCAAAATCGGAATAAAATTACTCTGAAAAATAAAGGTTCTGCAGTTGAGCACGAACAAAGTAACTCCATATTATGATTTAAATCTAGTTTGCTCAGGTCTAAAATACTAATTTAGAACAGAATTCTGTATTATTGTACTGTATACTTTCATGGATGCAAACCAGCAATTTTTACAGGTTGGACAGCTGATGATTAAAAACAGACATGGTATTTTTCTTGGCTGGACATTAACAGGAGACAATGAGTCATTTTTGCCAAATTAATCTACCTGTCCCAGCCCATTGGAGCTATTCCTTTAGGAGGTCCACAGCACAAAAACACTATTCCTTCAAAACAAGTTTGTTATTTTCTTTGCAACCATGAAAACTCTATTTATCAAGCTTGGGATTCTACACCTAATTCTAGGACAGGTTTTATACTTTCAGAGAAGTTCTTCTGCCTTGGAATCCTGAATTTCCACTGGTAAAAGTCAAACTGGAGAGCAATCCTTGTGTATTGCCAAAAAAGCAAACATTAAGTAACACCAGCTCTACCTAACACTAAACCCTATATTCAAAGTAGCATAAATCATGTACAAGACATATTAAATCTGCCACTGAGCTAAGAAAACTAATATGATCAGATATATACAAGATATATCAAAATGCCAGACAGCCAACAGTCTCAGGTCACCACCACAGGAAACATCCTGAGATCAGTATTAACTACAGATAGGCTACCATACTCTCAGAAAAATCAGAGGCACACATAGCACTTAAAGCCGAACAAACTTTCCTTGGTGCACTGAATTTAGGATGAGGATCGTCTTCCCTCCCCATTTTATCTTGCTTGGGGCCAGATGATGAAAGATTTGCAGACAACCTATAATGCTTGCCAGCCCATGAGAAAAGGTTGCTAAGACTGTGCAAACTAGATTTTAATACTGAACACAGTACAGATTATCATTTCAAACCAAAACCCTTTAGCACAAAGCTGTTAAACTGATTTCCAATTATTAAGAATAAAATGGTGAACTTTGACAAAAAATTTTTTTTTCATTCTTAAGAGGCTCACATCTTTGTTTCCCCAAACCACTTTTCCCAAGAAGTAATGCCAAATTAAGTAAATTAATTCAGACATCTATAGCACAGAACAGATTCCATGTTTATACCTTAAAATACAAAATAATTGTCTAGTAAATCCAAATACAAAACAGCTTAAAAATTCAACTCTTACTTACCAGTATTTTCTGATTATAATAACATCCCAAAAGATTTTCCAGCTATTTGTGACAATTTTGAACTTATCACCCCCTTTCTTTTTATACAGCACTACTGCTTCCTAATAAGTCCATTAAAACAGCTGAAGTATTTATCAAGTCTTTAACATTTTTAATTTCATAAAAACTCCAATTCAATTAGATTTGTGTTTCTAATATAATTTTTTACTACTATAAATACTCCAAAACAACATAAGGAAAAATAAAAGCTTTCATTCTGTACAAAGACGATTTTTTTCTGGCAGAGAAAGAGTATTGAGAGCTGCTTTCCTCCAACAAGACACAGCCTTTCCTCAGAGGTTAAGAGAATAGAACCCCAGCATATAATCCCCCTAAAAAGAAAGTACACACATACCACCCTGTTGGGTGAAAAGCTTTTTAACAGTCTAGCTAACTATCCATAATTAGAATGTAAAGAATAACAATTCAGATGTGAATCTACTTAGCTGAAAATGGGAATAAGGAAAGGATTAGAAAGCCCTAAAGATTCAACGACATAAGAAGCCTCAGTTCAAAGCTTGAGCCAAGGTCATATGCCAAGATACAGAACTTGACCCCTTTGCAACCAGGAGCTGCAGAAGCCAAGCAGTCAGAAAAACAAACTGGTGCTGAATAATGGTGACAAGAACCACTTTAGCAAGTCCAAAGTTAATCCGACATATACAAGAATTTCAAGACACAAAAAAAGGTTCAAAAGGTATTTTCTTGGAAAAGTCTAGGAAAAACTTGAAGTGTACCTTTTACCATTTAAATTTGTCATTACAATTTATTATTCATTCAAGCTTAAGATAATACAATGCAATATTTTAATCTATAGATTAAATATATTTCAGGACAGAACTAAGGAGGAAATATATCAGTCATGTTACATTTTATGCACATTATTGATTTCTTTCATGTCACAATAGATATAGCCAAAAACAGAAGAGGAAAAGAAATGCAAATGTATCCAAGCAGCATATATTTCAACCAATTCTCACATATTTCTGCCCAAGAAAGCCACGTAATTTCTTGAGGTATGTTTGAGGAAACACACTTTTACTAATGAGCCATAATATTGCATGTTGACAGTATTAGTTTAGTGGTTATGATGAGGAAAATGAACAGTCTAAAAGATGCAGTAATTCAGGCACATTGCTTAGAGTCTAAAAACATGAGTTCTAATTCTACCAGCCTCTTCTTTTAACTAAGGCAAATTATTTACTTTGTATCTTAGCTTCATTATCTGTAAAATGTAAAGTGGCACTTATGAGAGCAGAAAGATTTGTACAAATTTTACTTGAGAATTCTGTATTAATCTTTACAACAAAATTCAGATTTAAAATCAGAAATACTACATACTATACTAATGGTAAAGCTGACCTCTACTGTGCCAGTATAAACAATTTCACTCTGCATTACAGAAGTTACAGATACTGTAGCTATAGAAATTAACAAAAAACAAGGTAAGGTGGGCATCCCAAGCCACCATGCCATCTCTCTTCTGCAGCCGGCTCTGGAACTAAAATCAATTTTATAGATGCATCACACATGGAAATAGGCTTTAATTGTTAAAGAACTCTTGCACATTACTGACAAAATTTTTCAGAAATTGAAAAAAAAAAAGCTCTGAAATGTTGCATTTTAGATAACCACAAATTTAATTTGCAAGGCAAAGTCAGAAGGGCATCAAATAGCAAAGATATGCAAGTAATGGAAATATCAGATATAAATACATAAGAAATCTTCAACAGCATGAGACAAATAAGTTCAAGTTAAAACTTTACCCCTAAGACAGCTCAAATACCTGCACATATAAACTCTAAAGAAGCAAAATAAACTTTACTGTCTAGTGTATCATGTCCCTTTAACTGTAGCTTAGACTTTGTCCACTACCTCATTAACTCGGTGCTTTCTGCTGCCTTACCCAAAAGAAAAAAAAAAAATTAAAAAAATAAGGTACTGCACATTTATAACAATATCCTGTTTTCTTTTCAAATATGCTTGCTTATCACAGCAGATGAGAATACTAGTCATGAAAAAAGCTGCTTTAATCCAACTGTACGCATTTCTTAAATGTTTTTATGTCTTATTAGTGGCATGCCTAGCTTGAAACAGGAAAAAATATTCTGAAAGCATCAGGAAAGTAGTATTCCAAGTTCCTCCCCTTCCCCATGAAAATACTGTGTTACACATATGATACAGGCCAAGGAACTTGCACATTATGAAGGGGACAAAACCATAACCAAGTTAAAGCAATTTCTCCATAAATATTCTAAGATATACAGTACATGCCACTCTGCCTCATGTACTAGCACTAAATAAGTGATATCCTTTACAAAATACACTATAAGACAACAAATTGTAAAGAAATGGGATGGAGCATTTCTAAGGTTTGATAATAAAAATAACATTTTTTAAGTCATAAAATGAAGTTGGCAAAACAATTCTTTCAACACTCCAAAACAATTTTTTGCTGTATCCCATGTTGTCAGAGAAAAATAATTCCATACTTAACTAAGGGCTAATGTGTCACTGACAGCTATTGCAGCAAAACCAAAACCCATTTGGACTAATTCTAGGTCTTACAAGGGTAATGGAAAAGGTGTGTGTGTGTATGTATATATATATGTATCTATGTATCTATATATGTATATATATCTACACAGACACACACTTAAGCATGCTATGACATCATATATATATATATATATACACACATATAAAGTATTATAAAAATTAAAAGTTTGGTGTATATATAATAAAGATGTAAAAAAAGAGTATATAAAAACCATACACTTTCTTGACCACAACAAGCCCAAACTAGTAACCACTACCTTCATTTTACCAATTAATGTCAATTGGAAGCCGAGCAGCTTGTCTGCCCTTTCTAGAAGATGTTCAAAAACAAAGTAGGAGATGCACTATCCCAGAAGAGTAAGTAATTCTCATAAGAGCTGCGCAGAAGAGCTTAGCTAATCCAAATTCCCCTGTATGGGAACAAAACCTAGGTATCATTCTACCTAGTGTTTTGCTTATGCACAGTATAAGCAAAGGAACATTGGAAATGAGTAAATGAACATTGGAAAGAAAAGCATTGGAAGATTTCCTTTTTCAGATTCAAGATATATACTTGAAACTACCTTTAGCTAAAAGAAAAAACAGTAAATAAAGGTCATTGCTCTAAAAGCTGGCTCATTTACCTTCAAATAAACTGAGGTCTCTTCGTAGCCTTGGTCCATAAAGCCCTTCTAAAATACTTTCAAAACCTGGAGACAAAAGAAACATTTAGAACAGTAAATCAAAAGTTTCTTAAAAGAAAGCAAATTCCAGAGACCTGGCAACAAGTATCCTCAAATTCTAAGAGCAATTCCAAAAATTGTTATATTTATCAAACAAATATTTACTCCTTCCACCATGGTACTACTCAACAGCATTAGAAGATAAAAATAAGACAAGGCAACAGCCATCTGCCCACAATCAGCCTATTAAGCCATGCCCCAACAACCTCATTAGACTTAAAATAACTACCACAGAATCCTAAAGGTGGGAGGATTAGCCTCATAGCTCTAAGCAAGTGAAGGAGTTTCTGTCTTAGCCTGAGAATCAGTATCATGTACAGAGAGAAGAAAAAAATGAAAAGAAAAAAAAATTAAAACTTCAAGATCAGAAGCTTCTCATGATCTCCTGAAACTACATAATCTGAGTAGGCTAATATTACAACAAATAGAAAAAAAAAAAAAAAAAAAATAAAGCTTCTTTTGCTTTTGATACCATGACAGTGCTATCTAGTTCTCTGTATCCGTACAAAAACATTTTAAAATTGAGGATTAGATAAATCCAATTATTTTACAGATTTACCAGCTAGTCTGTTTAGGTATCTGGTAAAAATTAAATACTTCAATAAGTGTGATGAGACACAGAGCAAATCAAATGTCTGATAAATAAATAGAATTTTTTATCAACCCCAAACACACAAACAAAAAAAGCATGACAACTGATGAAATATGGTGACAATTTACAGCATCAATGTAACAAGTTTTGTTCAATATAGAAAGTTTCCAAGTGCCCCCTTTCTTCTTCCAAATAATAAGCTTATTTGAAAATAAGAGGATAGTTCAAAGCAGCATTTGAAGGTTCTCATTCTTCATACTAAAGGCCTGTCTGTAGCTATTTTGCTAGACCAGAACTCTGCAAGACTATTTTATTATCACACCACATAAAAATATCAAAATCTTCAGGAAACAACTGCCATCAACAAAGACCATTCAGAATCACAAAATTTGCTCATCATGTGATATCTTTTAAGACAACACAACATCCTGTTCTCTCACCAAAAGTTATATTTGCTTTTTGGTTTAGACTGTATGCACACTAGAATAAGTATATACCATATTTGAACCAGACAAGGGAAGCTATCTCAACACATAGGAGCGAGCTGTTCAGTTTGCTAAGTCAAATTTTGTTAAAATTTGTATTGCAAAGTAATTTTAATATATGGACTATACTGTGAATCAATTATAATCTCTACAAATCTGCTATGTGAGCTATAAATAGATTTATAGCTTTATATCTTGAACTGATATGGATTTCATCTTCCACTTTTTTTTGTAATAAATATAATACCATGAGACAACACAAATTAAATGACAAAACCACTGTCCTCTAACAAATATACACACACACACACACATCTTTTAAACAGCCTACAAGAACCAGAAAGCAAAAAGCCTAAAGCTCAGGCACACACTAAAATTTACCTTAAAGCATCATCCAGTGACTCTTAGATTCAATATAATATAAATTCACATAATTTTGGCATTGCACAAATTCTCTATTCTTCTGTTTTTAAAGGGTTACAGACAAAAAAGGCAAGAGAGATGAAGCCTGAAGTTAAGATAGCAATCCTCCAAACACAACACAGTGGAAATACAAAACATACCATGTGTATTGCCATTACTGTTACAGACTGAAAGCCATTTTAGGACAGCAGATAGTTATTTTCTGCCAAGTTACTGTCCTTGGGTAAAGAAATGAATGAAGCAGCTCTTGGAGAAAACTCTGCTTATTTCAAAAGAGCAAACAGCAACTCCTATTTTTCAGGACTTCGTCAATCAAACAACAGGAAGCTCGTTTACCATCCCAGTCAGCACCCAAAATCTCCCTGTTCTTTGAACACCTACCACCCTTCCCACCCTGTGGAGGGTGGTTCTTGTTTCTGCCTTTACTTTTGTCCTTATCTGCCTGTCCTACTACCTGCTCCTGCCTATGCAAAACCATGAGCACAGAAACCCCAGCTCTGTAAACAGCAGTTTCTCAAGGAAGACTGCAACCTCCAAACAGACTTCCATACAGCTTGTATTAAAGATGGCAATTAGCACACTGTGAGAGTTGGGTTTTTTTTTCTTTTCTTACCCTGAGGAAAGTATACAACAGCCTGCTTCTTTGCGAATTCACCAAACGTAATTCCATCCTATCCATCCAAAGGGCTGCTTCTCTTCCTGAAATATTACAGAACTTCTCCAAGGAGCCACAACAGACTTACCCCACCCAACCATTTGCTTCTTCACCTTTAGACACTGGATGCCTTATTATAAAGACCACTTACTTGTACAACCTAAAACCATAAAGAGAGTATTTTTTCAGGCCTTAGGCTAAAATTTTCCCAGAAAGCACTTGTGTAACTTCCATGCTCCACAGAGTACTACTGCCTTTCAGCAGAATTGATACAATTTTAACCTAAACATAAAGATGTATCTTAGTTTCTAGTACTGATGAATGAATGCTGGCACTGATTCCTAAAATGTAACCATCTGGACACAAGCAGTTCAATAAATCTTTGTTTTCTTTCTTGAGTCAGTATGCTTAAGCAAACAGTAGTAGCAGCTTTCCAGAACTCTCCAGAACGTGAAGAGCCTACAGAAACCAGTTAGAAGTACAATTTGCTTACATTTTCAGTAACGGAAAAATTTTGCTTCAAAATAGTTTTACAGAATTTGCTGTCTCATGGTGGTTGATTGCCTCTTTGATTCCAAGCTGCCTTTCAAAACTGTTACTCAAGATCTGACACTTTCTAGCTCCAAACTGAAAAGCAACACTTGGCTCTACTAACTTGCAATACCCCAATCTGTCAAACTCCTTTCTCTAATAAATTTATTATATCTTCATGTAGAAAGAATCAGCTTTCTTTGTTTAATTTGACACCCTTCAAAATTCAAGACAGGTTTCTCCAACAGTCTTCATAAGTAGAAATTTGTGACAGAGCTAGTCTCTTAACCCAGTTACACGTTTCCAGTTTGTATTTCTGAATAAAGCTGTGAACGGGCTTTTTCCCCCCCATATTAACTCTCCCTCCCACCTTTCTCCCACCAACGGATACTGCTTTCTTCACTCAGGGCTGGGATGGGACAGAGCTCCCACGAGGAGGGAGGATGAAGCTGTGACCTCCAGCAACAGGAAGGGGGCTCTCTTTTTCCACTGGTAGCTATTGGGGTACCAAAAAGCCAAACAGGCCAGGAACAAGTTCTATCAGGTTTGGCATACAAGCCACGGGACACAGCCAAGGCCCTCAAAAGGAAGCAATAGGTGACAGCAGCTGCAGACTTGCATGGGGCTTCTGCCCAGCAGCTAGACTGGCTGTCTCAGCAGTTCAGCTGTTACCTCTGGTCCAAACTCGCAATGTTCCAGAGAAACTCTTATGGCTCATCTGGCTGTTAAAAATATCATCTGTTACCCATCTACTTGGCCACCATGATATTGCCAAAATTGATCTTCAGCACACCAGGGCTAACTACAGGAGCACAGGGGCAATGATGAATGACACCAGGTGTCAGTGTAATAAATAACAGAGCCCAGGTGTTGATGCAGGGTGAAGGCTTTCCTTGGGCAAACAAACTTCCAGTGGGATCAACATCTGACTACATGGCTGCAGGCAGGACTTCAGCTCTTATGACATTAGGATCCTTTGAGAAACAGACTGCTTGAGAAAGACAGGATCTATTTGATAATGGAAATCCATCATTGCCAGTGGACTTGCCTCATAATGAGGTCTTCAAACTTCTCAGGAAAGTGGAGACTAAAGCCTAGAAAGGCAGAGAATGGCAGAGAGGGCCAATGCACACAAGGACCTTACAGTCCCCCTGAACAAATGTGGTAAGCAGGAACACACCTTAAGTAGCTTGATATGATAGCATTCATCACAGGATGCAAGCACAAGGGATAATAAACCAGAGCATGTAACAATCTTACTGGTGAGACAGTTCACACAAGTGCAGTGGATGGATACTGGCATTTAAGAAAAGGGGAAGTGAGAAAGTCAAGGACAGTGCTTAGATTTTAACTTAAACAAATACAGCCTTAGTGTGGAATGGGCTACAGGACAGTTAAAAATCTACAGGTCAGGATTCAACCAGGTGAACATCATAATGAACATCTGTTACAGACTGCCAATCAAGGGTAAGTAGATGAAGTCTTCAAAAACCAAAAATACCACCCAAAAACCACCATCACAAAAAAAATAAGGGAAAAAAAAAAGAAAAGGCTGCACAACCACCAAGACATATGCTGAAAATGCAACATGCCAGTGGACAAGCAACCTAGGGGATTCTGCGGTGTCTGGAGGACAAGCCTGCCTGAGGTGGTGGACAAGCTCAATAGGGGAGGCCACCATCAAGCTGCTACTCATCATTAAGTAAGTGATAATCAGTGATGTGACAGTCAACAGTGGTCTTGGGCACAGCAGCCATGAGGAATGCAGGATCCCAAGGGAAGCGAGGAACTTGAGTAGCTGAGTAATTTTCTGTGGGCTTAGTAGTCACTGATTTACATCCCTCCCCCAAGATGGGGGGAGCACAGTGGAAATAGAAGTACTGTCTTGTCTAAACCAGAGAAGTCTCACATGGGCCAAGGGTCTATGGCAAGGTTTTTATTGAGCTATCCTACTAGCTATTTTATAAAGTCAAAGAAATTGCAAGGTGAAGAGCAATTAAAAAACCCAATATTTCACCAATTCCAGTATGTTAAGTGTCTCTACAAGTTTACTCAGATTTAAAACAGGATTATTAAGTCCAAAGGAAGTCTTCAGTTGTCTTCACAACTTTCTATTTAAAATCTTAAAGAGAAGCTACCATTCAGCTGCTCACAAAGCTTAAATCATAACGTTTTCCATGTTTTATCACTTTAAACTACTTAGTGTCTGAAACATCTTAGAGCCCATCTACACATTAGAGAGTGCCACATATGAACAGTGCAGGCTGTAAAATTCTTTCTC